TTTGCTCAAAACCTAGAGATTGAAAAAAAACAGGGCTAAAAAGATTCGTCTTGATATTTGCGCATCACCGTTTTGTAACCTCAGTTGTATTGTCGAATTAACCACGAATGAACTCACCGTCTTGCCATTATGACCATCTCATAGCACCAACATCAACCTGGACCTATCCACGGCTGGCCTTCGACATGGCTCAGTATTGCGATGCTACAATCTTGCTCTTCCCGCATTGCCTTACAAGAAGATTGAATGAGTCAATGCCATCCCCCCCCCATTCCTCACTCTCCAGCAGGCCACTTATCCAAGGCTCACGTCTGGTGCGAGCGATATTGTTATTACTGTCAATTAAATACTTACACCGCCTAACGTATGTTGGGAAGCTTAAAGAACACATGCGTATGCATGATTTTTCATGGATATGTTTTGATCAATTCACTCGAGCTCTCAAGCCTTACACAAATACACAGCACTCACATATGTGATCAAAATAGTGAATTGGAATCTTAGTGATAACTGTTGCACTAATCACCATACACACTGGGTTTGTAATCCAAATTTGGAGAAATTAATGCACTTAATTGGAATTAAGTATTATGTTACTCCATCCAACATGCATTTATAAACAAAAAAAATTAAGACTTGATTGGGAGATATTTTTCAAGTGTATTTGATCATTCGTCCATGCTACTTGCAAGAATAGAATTTTGCTTAAATGTTTTAGGAAAGGCTAATTGGAAACTAGTACAGTAGAATTACTATTGTACCGTGAGAAATATCTAAAAATATAACGTTCTGCATGTCTAGGAATAAAAATGTACAGTCCTGCATTTTTGCATCAAATTATTCTTCTGAACGTCCTGATTGACAAAACATTTTCAAGGAAGGATTTATTTTTTAATCCACTACACACCATAAACTTAGTAAATAATTACAATGATAATAGCCTTGGTGTTGGAATCCATAGATTATTACACTAAGCACCAAAATGAATTAACGCAATAGTGCATTGTATGTCACCATTTACCACTGCATCCAAAATGAACCCTATTATCATCCACTGCTTTCAAAATTAATGTTACTTTTCTAAAACGTGAACTCATGCAGGAGCATAAATTGCTTTCAAGGATGTATCATGATCTGCACATGCTATTTTCTTAGCTTTAATTTCCCATCCAAACGTGTTATCGACCAGTGCTTCTAATATTGTCCACAGAAGAAACGTCTTCAGTGGCATACATTATATTTGCTCACCCTCCCATACTGGACATCTGTGAAAAAGAGCTTCATAGATTATCGGATTCATGCAGTCTAAAGAAATATTCTGATTGAAGGATATATGATTGTATTATCTAGAACCCACACTTTCGTAATCTTGACTTACTCTCACCAAACAGCAAAATATTAGGGTATAGCATTTAAATCCAAAACTCCCGAGTCACTCACTCCTGGACATCTATGAAAAAAGTATCTTTATAGCTCCATAATAGGTTTTTGGGTTAGATTGAGTAAATATGAATTTCATTAAAGCCACCACCAACCGACATCGCCAATTAGTAAGGTTTGTCACGTAAACAAAACATGCCAATTCGTTACTAGCACAGCACACCAGTGTGTTGGAGAGCAAACCCACAACATTTACAATTCGAGAACGACGTTTCGCCAGTAATTACAACCGGCATCATCAGCCGACAACTCTTGGCTGTTTTGTTTACGTGACAAACCTTACTAATTGGTTGTGCCGGGTGGTGGCGAGTTTCACGACGCATTTATATTTACGCGATCTAACCCAAACAGAAACCCAGGGTGGATAATATTGAAATAGGTTTTACCCTTTTAACTGGCACAAAAACTGACACCTTTATTCAAGGCATCATGTTTGCAATAACCACAACACAAGCAGTCAAAATGCAAACAAAAGAGACAACTCTGATAATAATATGCACCGAGTTGTCTCTTTTGTTTGCATTTTGACTGCTTGTGTTGTGGTTATTGCAAAACATGATGCCTTGAATAAAGGTGTCAGTTTTTATGCCAGTTAAAAGGGTAAAACCTATTTCAATATTTTGTTGCTGGCAAAGGAGGTCTCATAATGGATAATATTGCTCGCGAAAAGCCTTCCTACGGGTTAAACAAAACTGAGCTTTTATACCTCCGGTACAAACACGTTCTGATTGTGATCGAGTACTTTAAACAAAAACAATTGTAGCGACGAATCGGTGAACGCAAATGACAAATCATCATCATCATCACCGGTGACTTTTTAACATCTGATGGTGGGGTTATTGGTAGCGGTGGTAGCGGTGGTGGTGGTGGTGGCGGTAGAGGAGGGGGGGGCCGCACTCGCCACCACCACACCGGGCGAGGCGCTCACTTCCTGCCGCCGCTCGCCTAATGCACGAAAGCCTCGGCCTAGAGGGCCGCGTCTCTTTTTATTTTTTTTCTCCCCCCTCTCTTCTCTTACACACATCCCCCACCCCACCCCTTGCTCTCTCTCTCTCTTTCTCTCTCTCTCTCTACCCTCTTTTGTTAACGCCGACTCGGATTCTTCTCCGGCACCTTCGCTTCTCCGCGTCTCATCGAGTAAAATTAAGCGTCGGCGTTTCTAGGCGCGGACGTCGTTGTGGTGGTGTTGTTGGTGGTGGTGGTGTTCGTGGTGGTGTTGTTGGTGTGGGGTTTGTATCCGCTACGGTTTAATTCGACGGCGGTCCGCGAAACCAGCGGTCCCGGTGTCCCACCAACCCCACCGCCACCCCACGACCATCCCCGGCCGATTCTCTCCACGTACCCCCCCCCCCCCCCTTCGGAGTGTCATTTTCCTTGTCCACCCTCTTCACATTTAATCGGTGGACGTGTCTAACACTCTTCTTCTCTTACCACTACCACCCCACCTCCTTCTCCAGCTGCATCAACTATCGCCCGACTTTTTTTTTAAGAGAGAGAACAAACAAAAAAAATTGAACCTCTTATTTTTTTTGGGGGGGGGGCACCGTGCCCCCGGCCCCCCTAAAAAAAAACTGCAAACGTTGGAGCGGCGCCCCCCTGCCTTGCCCTGCCCCCCCTAAGCTCTCTCAACAAAATAACAAACCCCCACGAGGCGCGGACACGGCGAGACACAAGACTCATGGACACGAGACGGTAAGTGGAATGGGTTTTTTTGTTGTTTAGGTGGTTGTTGGGGGAGGTGAAAGGAGTAAAAAAACAAAAAAAACCCGTGTGTGTTTTGTTGTTGTTTCTCTCTCTGTCCTCCTTTCTGTTGCGAGGCGGAGAGGCCGAGGCCTATAGGGCCCGGCAAGCCGCCGTGGTTCGCCCGCCCGGGTTGGACTCGGGGCTCGGTGCCGTAAGGGGGAGAACGCGGCAGGCAGGCAGGCAGGAGGCGCTGTGCTTCACAGTAATCATATACAATCGTTGTGCTGTCGAATACTATGTTTTACCAAGGGCCCGGTAGGGTTTCGTGTCAAGATTATGTTGGGGTGGGTGTTTTGTTTAAAGGAGTTTCAGCTACACAAGGTATTGGCAGACGTAGCTTCCCCCTTCCATCGATATAAATAATACACGTAACCCAGAAGAAAAAAAAACCTCGCCGAATCCAAATACTTTTTTTTTGTTCAGGAGGATCCTTTCGTTCTTATAAATGGTTGTCTCGCCGATGGTGACACTCGCATCAATAACTGCCCTCTGCTGTTAAAATCCTCAAGTCTCACGCCACTGCTATCCAAGAGTCCATTCTCCCATCGAGATGTTTGGCTTAGCTGGGTGACAACTGTGAACTCCTCTAGCGTCAATGACAGCACCATCCGGTCGATGGTTTAGTTGTTTCACCATTTGGGGGGGGGGGGGGGGGGAAGCCTCGTCGAGTTTCGAGACCCATTGGCAGGAGGGTCCTGCCACATCAAAATGTTTGGCTTCATGAGCTGGGGGAGAAGGGGGCGACGCTCAGCACTGCCATCTACTGGACCCATCACACGGGCCCCACGCCAATTTACACCGGGCAAGCTCCGGTTGTTCACACAATTAAGAGTGTTTGTTATTGTAGTAACCAGGCTCGTACTCTGCTTTTACCCCCTTTTCCCTAGATCCGACGAGGTGGGTCGTATTTAGAGTGACGAGGTCGTTAAGCAAAGGGGCACATCCTCTTATTCGCGATGGCAACCTCGCCATCCTGCAGCTTTGTCGTGAGCATATGCCACTCTTGTCCCCTTGCGAAATGGGAATAAATGAGGCAACAGAGGAGGCTGTTTGTCTCCACGTTAAACTGAGATTGGGCAGTCTCGTTGACATTCGTGAAGCCTACGGAGGAAGCCACCTTTTGGTCACCGGTGTGTTCCAGCAGACTTGGTTTAAGCAGGAAATGCTGCACACGAGTTTCGTGCAGGACTGGACAGTTCTGTACAGTATACCAATATTACCGGTTGTAAAACACCTTTGGGTCATATTTTTTTAATTCCTTTTTATTTGGCGCTTTAAATAAGATTTTTTTTGAGAAATTACGTAATGTATGTGTTATATGCTGAGTCTGTATGAATACGTAGGATTATATATATTAGTTATTTGAATCGAAATTATTTGAATCGAAATTTCACGGCTTTTGTGGGTGGGTTTCGAATAACTTGACATTTTACAAAATGGAATGGCTCTACTCGAAACATTCAACTGGTATGGTGTACTGTTATTTTCGCGTTCTGTTCATTTGGTTTTACGTACATTTTACTGATAAGAGTTGTCTGTGATATTTATCACATGCAATCATTTCGCCTTTAAACTTGGTTGGAAGCTTTCGTGACTGCAGGAATTAATCTTTGTTTTTTTTTACGGTAAAGTCACGTATAAATAAGAAATAATAAAACTGTACGCCTTTTGGCGTCATCTGGTCGAGCACCAATTGGGTCGAGGCTCAAAAGAAAGCCGTCCCTTGGTCTGGACCAATCAGTTTCAAGGACAATGTATATATTATCATAGTATGTTTTTGTTTGCATTTTGACTGCAGGTATTGTCAATGCAGACATGAATCCTTGTAAAAAGGTTTCAGTTTTGTTGCCGAAAAAAGGGGAAAACCCCTATTATTATAAGTATACTTTTGTAAATATGTGTACATTTTCAGAACTCTCTCGTTATTACCATAGACCGGGATTCCAGTTCAATGAAGTTGAAATAAGCGAATTTTAATCTGTTGCAATATGCAGAATCTAACTCGTAAAAAAGGATGCCCCTTTCCAAAAAACGTGATCTGTTTATGAATAGAATGACTACAATATTTTTTTAATTAATTTTAAATTGTATTCATGAATAATACGCATTGAGTAATCAAACTTCAAACTACTCTGGGAATCAATAATAATCTAGACTGCCCTATTATTCTGCATACAGGTGATTGGTTCAATGGGATTCACATCTTACTTCATTCCCAATAATCCCCATGAACCTAAAATAAAAAATAAATAGCTTCGTTTTACCACTGAACAGCATGCATGCACCACACTGATATGGGATGCAATAGTTTCTGAAATAGCTGAAGTGTAAAAATAAAGTGTAATTGTCGTAGAAGTATTGCATCTTAATTAGTTATCACCTCAATCGAAATGCAATTATGTGCTGTAGTAGCAAAAACTTAGAGGAAGATGTAATTTAGCTGCAGGTCACGAGACATGCATCACCGTTCAAGCCCTCTATTCATCAGTGTGTGAATAAATGTGTCCAGGTACTGATCTGCCAAAGAGGATGAGTTTGGCCTTAAAAACATATAGGCAGCGCTAATATTAAGTTACTTGATGCATGTCAGATAATATATTACAATCGTTAAACTTTATGCACTTGCTTACATAACAAGCCGGAATCTTAAAAGCATGTTGTGTTTGTGTGCTGTCATACAATCTCATTAGGTCTGGCATTTGACAGCGATATGGCGGTGGAAGTAGGACACGGAGACTGAAGTCTCCATATGACAACCCCAGCACACATTTCGCACAGTGTTCTCAGCACGGACATTCGACGTTGCAAAGTGAGTCCTCTGATGCAATGCATGTCAAACGAAATAGCTGATGGTTGTTTTTTGTACTTGGCAGATGTTTGACATCGGAGGGAGCGCATTCATTTTGAATGTATAAAAAATGTATGCCTGTTTACTTTTTAATGCTTTCAATCTCAAACTTCAGTATATCCCCATAGCTGTATAAACAGTTTTGAAGAGTCTGCCTTTATGTCAGCCTTGCACAACAAACCAGTAGTTGTTGGCAAGAGGAAAATATTAACTTGTCAAGCAGCTGACACCCATCGTGCCCGAATTGGAAATTGATGGTTGTAATTTTTCGAGAGCCGAACTATGTTTTTCCGTTTATAGACACTTGACATGCTTTCTCAGAGGGAAAATCCCGAAACCATTTGCTAAAAATATTACTACACAGGTCAGGTTTAAAATAAAATATGTACTTTTGTATACCATTATGCTTGCATGTGGCTTTAAGAGCATGTGCCTATTATGAGTCCATTTATATGCACGTTTGCTTGTTTCCATATGCATATTTATGTACAATCGAGTCCTCTAACAAAATGAAGACTCCTTTTTGTTTATTCAGGCCATGGTGTTTGAGAACCGCAGCTCACGCTACGCACCCAGCACAGGCATGACACCCAAGGAGCTTTGCGACAATGATGACCTTGCTACCAGCCTGGTTCTTGACCCCTACCTGGCTTTCCAGACTCACAAGATGAACATGAGGTATGTTGCATAGGAAAATCATGGTCAGACAGTTCACACGGCCTTCTCAATATACCCATTTCACCCTGTTCTCCTTTCATAACTTTACACACGAACATCCACAAATTACATTTATTTTATTTTGTCGAAATTATGCCAATTAATTCAGAATTTCTGAAAAGCATGGTTTATTAAAAGGTTTTGATTTTGCCGGGCATTAAAAGTGCTCTGTATTGTAGATTTCGGCCTGTGAAGGGGCGGCAAGAGGAGTTGAAGGAAGTGATGGAGCAATTAAAGAAGGATGGTGATATAGAAAAAGCCTATCTGGGGCTGACATCTGGTGACTGGGCTCGCCACTACTTCCTTACCAAGAACAAAGTCCAGGAGCAGACCCTGAAAGAACATGTGAGTGTAAATGTCACCATCTGATTTTTATGTTTGCATCATAAATGGGAAATAAATCTAAGATTAAAAGAGTGGGGCACGTTTTGATACGATGTATTTTTGTGTTGCTTTGTACAGGTGTTCCGGTACCTTCGTCCATTTTTGACTGAGAGTGGCTTTGAAATCCTGCCGTGTAATCGCTACTCTTCGGAAACAAACGGAGCTAAAGTGGTTGCAACAAGAGCGTGGTATGATTTCATACTTTGGCAGTGTACAGAAAGATCGTGAAGATTTTTGTTATTGTTGTTGGAGTGTGTAAAATCTGTACATTATTAGCATTTGTTTCACCAGGTGAGAGTTCATTGAGATTAATTATTCATTTGCAATTTATTTTTGAGTAATATTGACATATGGAATTTCAGTTAGTGCATGGGCATAAAATGGTATACTCATGTAAATGGTGTGACAGGGTCTTTACTGTGCAAACTTACAGCTTTACAGATCTTGCCTTTTGAAATTTATGCACATAAACAGTAATTCTAAAACTCCTTTTCAGGAAGAAGAATGACAAGATTGAGCTGCTTGTGGGTTGCATCGCAGAGCTGAGTGAGATTGAAGAGAACATGCTTTTACGTCATGGCGTGAATGACTTCAGTGTTATGTACTCCACACGGAAGAACTGTGCACAGCTTTGGCTCGGTCCTGCAGCCTTCATCAATCACGGTAATATGAAAACCTGAATGGTTATTATTGGCATATATGCTTGTAAATTACGTGTTATTGACATTTTGATGCTAGTTTAAATAATCATAACCTACAGAAAGTAATCTAATCTTGTTGTACTTGTGTTTTTTGTTTGTTCATAATTTTGGGTTATACCTGCATGGCCTGACTTGGAACTAAACTGCAGACTGCAGACCGAATTGCAAGGTACAAGTTGGGTACTATTGCACAAACTGACATACTGCAAACATGCCACATAATCTTTGTGGTAGGACACTTGCAGTTGCAAATAATTAATGTGTTGACTTACGATTTAACATTTTCGTGGTTCTTCAGTTCGTGTCAACAGGGCGAGACACGGCTTGCGTAAAGGTGCTTAGAGACATTGAGCCTGGTGAGGAGATTTCCTGCCACTACGGTGATGGTTTCTTTGGGGAAAACAATGATTTCTGCGAATGTTACACTTGTGAGAGGTAAGCATGTGTGGCCCCTGCGACATCAATACACAATAAAATTTGGCATACAGCACACCCGTGACGATTTAATTTCACTGAATTTGATTTTAGTTTTTCTGTTTTTAAAGGAGAGGAGAAGGTGCCTTCAAATCAAAAGTGAAAGCCAACGTCGAAGGCACAATAACTAACAGCAAATACGGTTTCCGGGAGACTGACAAGCGGATGAACAGATTAAAAAAGCTGAGCTCGACAGGCCAGGATGGATGTCGGGATAAAACTGCCAATCCTGCTCTACTTCAGAAACAACAGCACTTGAGTAGGCATACCGTTCTTAAATTTCACCATTTATAAAATTGTGCTCGACTAGATAATGCAGATTTTTTTTTAATTGCTCTATTGTAGTTTAAATTTTGGTAGTCATTGCTTTTCTATTTTGCTGCAGTACAAGAAGGACCAACGGGTCGGCTCAGAAGGAGCCGAGGGAAAGACAAAAACGCATGGAGCCTGCCAAGCTCCACCCTCAGCACGCCCAACAGCTGTGGTTGTGACACAAAAAAATCGAGAAAGCTGAACAGGACCAAGCCAGCCAAATCCACCAGACAGACAGCAACTAAACACAACTCTTGGGCTGAGTATTGCAATGGTGTTGGCCCCAATGGCAAAGCTGTCTGGAAAGGCCGGGTCTCAGACAGTGGTGGGCTTAACAGCAAGGCTGTGTATAAAGGAAGGATGTCGGATAGCGTGGCAAATGGCAAATTAGTGTGGAAGAACCACGCTGTGGATGGTGTCAATGGAAAAGCTGTTTGGAAGGGTAGGATGTCAGGCCGGAGGGCTGTATTGGTTAATGCACCCCTAGCCCAAAGAAGATGTGAGAGAAGGACCAGATCGTCTACTGCTTTTGATGAGATGCTTGCAGAGTGCCAGCACGCAAATGATGAGGACGATGCAGAGGTGGTAGAAGTTGATGGAGATGTTGAAGCACAAACTGAACGGGTTAGAGTTTCACAGTCAGAAGCGAGCGACAATCATACAGAAAGTGTGAAGCTTGCACCTTACCAGAGGAAAGCTTCACAAGGTAGCCGCCGCAAGAAGAAAAGGCAAACGAGACGGCGCTTAATTTTGGATAAATCTGGTAAGGCGTGCGATACCACAGAACTCACTCCAAGTCTCATCAGCCCTTTGTCAGACTCTGTGTGGGACTGTAATCAAGAAGCATCTGAGGCAGACCCAAGTACACCCACAGCATGGTCACCGAATGGTTTCCTCACTGCCACCTCTACAAACGAAAGGCACGATGGTGCAGTGGATGGTCACGTGCTGGAGAGGGTCAAAAGTGGCTCACCTAGCAAACGAAAAAAGAAGCATCCTATCACCCGCTACGATGCACAGCTCATTCTGGAGAACAACACGGGCATTCCCAAGCTGACTCTGCGACGGCGACGCAACTCTGGTCATGACAACGGCGAAGGCTCGGAATCAAGTCCGCACGAGTGGATGCAGCACAAGATGTCCCGCGAACGGCTGCAAGAGCGTGTAGCTGCAACGGACGCTACGTTTTCTCACGGCAGTGGTGGCAGTAGTGGCAGTAGTGGATCCAGCGAGGGTAGCTCGTGTAGGGAGGACAGCCATAATGACGAACCTGACGAAGGCGTACTTTACTTTCCACAGGTTAAAAGGTTGCGCCTGATTGTTGGAAACGATTCCATAGACATTGACATTTCCTCTCGGCAGAAGGAGCTGGCACTACGGAGACAAAACATTAACAGCCATGGTGAAACTTGATAAACGTTGCACATAAATTGTCACTGTCCCGAGTTTATCTGCATTTTATCTTGAGGCAGCTTATCTGTTCCTGTAAGTTTCTTGAAATAACATGACCAGATGTTCAATTCTCATCACACTTCATGTTTCATTTGTTCACATGTATAGTGCTGGGCCATAGTAAACTTGAAAGCATTATCAGATGCAATAAGATTTTGCAACTGTGCTTTCAAATTTATTAACTCTCAGCTGGTTAGTCTATATACAACTCTACACTGTACAGTAATGTAGTTCAGTCTTATTTATGTTTTTTTTCCAGCAAATTTTACAAGTGACAACAAAAGTTAAGTGTAAGAACATGGGTGATACAAAAGCTGTGGTCACGATAGTGAGTTTAATCTGGAGCTTAAAGTTCCTTTACAAAACTTGAATTAAGTTGAATATACAGGATCTCCATAAATGGTGTGCATTCTAATGCAGCGCTTGTGGTGCATTTTATATCCTACCTCTGTAATTGCTGTAAACATAGTACACTGACTTTAAAGTACTAGAGAGATGGATGTCTTAAATAGGGTGTTTACACTTGCCTGTCTGTCCCATCTGATCCCAGTTTTGCTCTGACCCATATACATGCAAAGCACTAATATTATCACACTTGTGCAGACAACTACATTGGCAGTTTTTTTGTTTTAAGCTGAAGTTTCACAATGTATCTAAAAGCCACTTAACACAAACAGCATTTAACGTGTAAAATTCATGGCATCCGAATAAGCATAAGAAAATAGCGCAAGGGTGGACTGGGAGACGAGGAAGGTAGTGTGGCAAGTATAACACTCCCTGTTAAAGGCTCTTTGCAGTTAGATCTGCATATATGTTGTGGCTGAACGTGTGAAGGTATTTTTAAAACCGTGATAAAAAACGCACTGTGACTGTTTTAAATCCTCTAATCGTTGATTGAATGCAGCCACACTGGCCTTGCAAATTTTGCTGCACGGTTGTCTTGAGGTTTTCTAAACATTGCATTTTACAGCAAACTTTGAAACTCTATGGGTGTAGATTTTCTTCACTGGTTTTGGTGTTTCCAAAAGCCTTCATGAAAAGTTTTTATTGCAAAAATAAAACAAAGAAGATTGTAAGAATAAAATGCAAAGCAGCGGATCATCAATTTTGGTCTTTGTTACACTACGTTTTTATGTGTATCATTTGTCCATATGCTTACCGATTAAAAAAATAGTTGACAGTTGTCTTTCACTTTATGTATTATATGCAAGTGTGTAATGCACATTGGTGGTGCTGAATTAGCAATGCATTCCGACGGTGCAATTTCATTAAACAGTACAGTACTACATTGATATGTTAATTACAATCAATCTCGATTGCATATTGCAATTTCTAAAAAGAACATTGTCGTGGTCTTTGAAATTGCCAGATTAAACGTTTGGAATATCTTCAGTCGATTTTAGACTGCTCATTGTAAATAACACTTTCAACCACATGGCCATGCACAACTCTGAAAATACTATACTAAGAAGCACAATGATTTATTGGAAACACGCCTAAATATATCAGTCTTTTAAAGTTTGATTAATCATCTGGGCATGCCACTGCAGCTCACATGGATGATAATGTAAGGTAATCCAATCATTCGGGCTGGGTTGGGATTACTGCACCACCGTTAAACAACGGTCAGTCGCAGTGATGTTGCCACAGTGCTTGTGCTGGGCTAGGTGCACTGAGTCAAGTGATATGTCGAAAGTGCTGGCAGGAAGTCGTGGACATTCCAGATATTAGGAGTTAATTGAAGTGACTGGTATACATGCACCACCTGTACTTTTTACAATGCCAACTTGCTGTGTTTTAGCTATCTGGTGCGCTGCCTTTGTCGATTCTCTACCTCCCGTTGTTAGAGAGTGGCTGATGTCAACTGTCAAGTAATATTTTATGAGCCCCTTCTTCAGAAGCTGGGTCTTAACACTACCGGTTGCACTTTTCAACAAAACCACTCAACTAAATGTCTGATACCACAGCAGTCCATGTTTTATCGAGCACTTGCTTTTCCCATTTAGCTCCCTCCTATCCGGCCAATCAGGTTTCTTGGGGATTCCGTGCTTGCAAATTTGGGTAACTCCCAACGATGCCTTTTCCCCAATTGGAAGCGTCCAATGATGTGATTATGCCCAGATACAGTATTCAAGTATCCCAGATCATATTCCAGCATGGTTAAATCCATGATGGAACAGTGAATATGTCCAATATAGGTGTTTTGTAAGGGGATCCACGTTATACAGGCATTGAGAAGATCTGGAGCTTCATGTCGAGTGACAAGCCAGGCAGCTTTCACAGCATCAGGCAGCTGATGAAAGGTTAACACCACTCAACTGATTCGGAGTGAGGTTTCTAGCCAAACCAAAGCTGAGACCATGAGCAGTGTCTTGGTATATGAACTCCACCCTCTCCATCGCCCACCCCCGTGACAAGAGGTTTGATGGGGTGCAATGATTGATTACAGTATGCCAGGGAAGGTGGTTTGGTAGATATGATGGTAAGGCCCAACCTTTTTTTGACAAGCTCTAGGTTCTTCCTCAAATTGTGTGGCAATTGCCAGTTTATCAGCATACATATCATAACTTAGCAGTTGGCATCCATCTATTGACTACCCTGGCATTGATCTTCCTCCCATTGCACAGTATTTGTAAAAGACGGACTTTCCACTTGTAAACTTGTGGAATGCTTCTTGAAACACATTGTCAAAAAAGTTCGTGTTTGAGTGATAGAGCTATCCTTGCCACGCCCCAAAAGTGAAGGGAATGCCTTTAACTTCTTACCACAATGAAGGTTCTCATTGATCGTAAGCAGAGGGTCAGGAACATACAAATTCACATATAAACAAAACCCATAGCCTTTTGATAGTATTGTAGGCCTTAAACAGGTGAAACAGCTGCAGGTTCTGTTGAAAGTGTCTGAACCTCTGCTGTTGTAGGTCGGCAGAGAATACGGTATAGTGTAGTATAGTGTCAACATCATAACCCCTATTTGAATCTACATTGGGGCTTTGCAAGCTTATCGGCGTACCAGTACATTTTCTGGCACACTAAGGATGGAAATGTCCCAGTGCTGAAGTTACAATTGATGCGCTATCTCCTTTATTATCAAGAAAGACCACCAAGGCATCCTTCATTGTGATGACGTTACAGAAGGAAATCATAATATTAACGAGCACCACCTTATAAACTCCGACACATACAATTTGGGTGGTGTTAGCAGCACCACGCCCCAGTGCTGATGTTACCACACCCCGTGCCAGGCGCTCATTTACGGCTGAGTCGACCTAGGGGAATGTGCAGATACCACGTGCTGCTGCGGCCTGGGTTTGTGTGTCGTGGCGGCATGGTCCCGGACAAAATTGGATCGCGGCTCCCGCGTGGTTAGTAATAATGTGCCTAAAAATAATAAGAAAGGTTTTAATCATTGCATATTGCCTCCTGTGGATCAGAAACATGGAGAGTTGAAGTCAACCCCAGCAAAACGAATGAAGAACTGAATAAAGCAAAGCTGTAAAGTGGTGCTCAAGATCCACAAGAGATAAACAAGTGATGTCCAAGGTCCCATTGTGTCAGGGTCAAACAACCGAAAAGTACATCTTTGCGTGTGTGTATCTAGATACCTAGGGCAGATTGAAAAGAGACTGAAATCAAATAATGAAATAAAAAGGCGGATGAGAGCGGGTTGGTGTGCTTTGGGGCCGTTCATAAATGACGTCACGCACCTGGGGGGGGGGGGGGGTGTCAGACATTTGTGACGATGTGTGACGAGGGGGGGGGGGTTGAGAAATGTGACGTCACATCAAAATGAGCAACTTTAAATAAATATAGACAACACGTTCTACTTAATTAAATGAACTTTTTAATAAATGTTTTCTCCTACAACATCAGAGTGCAGCGCCAAATTAAATACGCACTACAACGACAATAGTTTAAAGCGATTTGAAGCATGTTTTATATATATTTTTGGGAGGGGGGGGCAGAGCTTTGTGACGTCATATTTGAGGGAGGGTCTGACTTTCTGTGACGCCGTGTGACGAGGGGGGGGGTCAAAAATCGTCACAAAATCGCGTGACGTCATTTATGGACGGCCCCTTTTGGAAACGGCACACGACGATTGTGAAAAGCAAGGCAATGTGCCGAAAGAAGCGTGTTCCTATTGCGTGATACCAGCTACAAACATGTGTTATCAGTAACGTGGACATGTTTACACAATTAAGTAATGTACGTGTTGAACTTCTTTTGTACCGTACGCAGCCAACCGTACGGGGGGGGGGGAGAGGGTGGGACATGTAAGCATGGTCTACTGTAATATATTGTGCAACTTAATGTAAGAAATGTTACTGCGTAATGTGGCAACGTACACGTGCAGTGGTATTCTGGTTCGCCTTGCATGGTGTTGGATTACGCTGCTGTCCAGGAATATAAATATCTATCAGGTCGATTTACCTATACGCGACACATGCATCGACTCGTATTGCGTGAATAGATGTTTTCCCTTGTTGTTGTTGCTATTAACGTGCCGGACATGTCTGCCCCTCTCGCGTTAACGGTAACGCACAACGGAAACGCAGCCTAGCGCTTACAAACTACAGTGACTCATCTAAATTTCGATTTAAAGCTTTCGTGACTGCAATGATTCATCTTCTTTGGTTCTTTCGGTAAAGTCACGTAGAATGAGAATAAAATAATAAATTAATAAAATAACACAATAAAATTCTCACAACGTTTCGGCCACAACTCAAGTGGCTGTGTTCGCTCCAGCGCTGTCCTCGAGACAGTCTCGTCCCTTCACCTGATGAAGGCCACTTGTGTTGTGGCCGAAACGTCGTGAGAATTTTATTAATTTATTATTTTATTCTCATTCTACGTGAAGAAAGTGACTCATCTACTTACGAACATTCTACTTACGGACTTTTAAGAGATACGAACAAACCTGTCTGTATGTCCAGTTGCCTGTTCCGACCGAGAGTCGTAAGTTCAACCTCCGCGCAAATAGACGGCGGTGGTGGCGTCTTCATCTGCAGAACGTGAAGACCCAGTGGCATCTACACGGAATTATTGAACGTTTAAAGTCAGCCCCCCCCCCCCCCCCTTGTTGAGTGTACATGCCGCACAACATGTTTGGAATCGAAAGGAGTAAAGTTGGACTTACGAACAAATCGACTTACGGACATACCCTCTGGAATCTAACTCGTTCGTAAGTAGAGGGGTCCATGTACACACGTCAGAGACGAGACAAAAACGACGACTGTACAGAAAACAATCGCACAGAATATCTCTAAAACGGTGTATAGGTCCACTCCCACGACCCCTTTGGAAACAGAAACCGCTCCGTGCATGCAGCATGGTGTCAGACATTTGTGACGATGTGTGACGAGGGGTGTTGGGGGGGGGTTGAGAAATGTGACGTCAAATCAAAATGCGCAACTTTAAATAACTACAGACAACACGTTCTACTTAATTAAATAGACTTTTTAATAAATGTTTTCTCCTACAACATCAGAGTGCAGCGCCACATTAAATACGCACTACAATGACAATAGTTTAACGCGATTTGAAGCATGTTTTTTATTTGGGGGGGGGGGGGGGAGCAGAGCTTTGTGACGTCATATTTGAGGGGGGAGGGATATGCATTTTTGTGACGTCATGTGACGAGGGGGGTAGGGGTCAAAAATCGTCCAAAATCGTGTGACGTCATTCATGGACGGCCCCTAGGTCGGCTCGGTCTCAAAATGAGTACCAGCTGTGGTGTGCAGTAAACATCGCCACTGGGGAGACAAAGGCGGCCGGGCGTGGTTGTAGGTTGCTACTCGCGAACAGCACTTGCCCTAAACAGTCTGTCAAGGCTATAACGGGGAGGGTGATCTTTTGTCTTGGTGACAGATGGTGGCGTGGTGGTGTGATGGGTGGGTGTGTGGGTGTGTGTGTGGGTGTGTGGGTGGGTGTGTGGGTGTGTGGGTGGGTGTGTGGGTTGGCTCGCTCGGGTGTTTTCATGCTCTCACTGGGTTAGGGCTGACGGGTGGTGTGGTGGTTTCGGGGGAGTTGGGGGGTTGTTCTGTTTACCTCATCTCTCTTCAGCTCTCACTCTCTCACTCTCTCCAACTCCCACTCTCTCACTCTCTCCAACTCTCACTCTCTCTGACTCTCACTAACGCTCACTCTCTCACTCTCTCCAACTCTCACTCTCTCCAACTCTCACTCTCTCACTCTCTCCAACTCTCACTCTCTCACTCTCCGGCTCTCTCTCACTCTCTCTAACTCTCACTCTCTCTAACTCATCACTCTCTCACCCTCTCCAACTCTCACTCTCTCACTCTCTCCAGCTCTCACTCTCTCCAACTCTCACTCTCTCTCACTCTCACTCTCTCCAGCTCTCACTCTCTCACTCTCTCTAACTCTCACTCCCTCACTCTCTCCAACTCTCACTCTCTAACTCTCACTGTCTCACTCTCTCCGGCTCTCACTCTCTCCAGCTCTCACTCTTTCTCACTCTCTCCAGCTCTCACTCTCTCTAACTCTCACTCTCTCACTCTCTCCAACTCTCTCTAACTCTCTCTCTCTCACTCTCTCCAACTCTCACACCCTCACGCTCTCCAACTGTCTCTATCTCTCACTCTCTCCAGCTCTCACTCTCTCCAGCTCTCACTCTCTCTAACTCTCACTCTCTCCAACTCTCACTCTCTCTAACTCTCTCTCTCACTCTCTCCAACTCTCACTCTCTCACGCTCTCCAACTGTCTCTATCTCTCACTCTCTCCAGCTCTCACTCTCTCCATCTCTCACTCTCTCTAACTCTCACTCTCTCACTCTCTCTAACTCTCACTCTCTCCAACTCTCACTCTCTCTAACTCTCACTCACTCTCTCCAGCTCTCACTCTCTCTAACTCTCACTCTCTCCAGCTCTCACTCTCTCACTCTCTCTAACTCTCACTCTCTCCAGCTCTCACTCTCTCCAGCTCTCACTCTCTCTAACTCTCACTCTCTCCAGCTCTCACTCTCTCTAACTCTCACTCTCTCCAGCTCTCACTCTCTCAAACTCTCACTCTCTGCAGCTCTCACTCTCTCACTCTCTCCAGCTCTCCCCCTCCAACTCTCACCAGCTCTCACTCTCTCACTCTCTCTAACTCTCACTCACTCTCTCACTCTCTCCAACTCTTACTCTCTAACTCTCACTCTCTCCAACTCTCACTCATTCGCCCTGAACTCTTTTCTCCAGCAGCAACAGCGGCAACATCCACAGCAAGCCATCCGTCGTTCGCCCATGTCGCGCGAGAGACAAGGAGGGCATGCCGGAGTGGCACGCCGCTGCGAGTTACGAGAGACAAGAAGGGCATGTCGGAGTGGCACGCCGCTGCGAGTTACGAGAGACAAGAAGGGCATGTCTGAGTGGCACGCCGCTGCGAGTTACGAGAGACAAGAGGGGCATGTCGGAGTGGCACGCCGCTGCGAGTTACGAGAGACAAGAGGGGCATGTCGGAGTGGCACGCCGCTGCGAGTTACGAGAGACAAGAAGGACATGTCGGAGTGGCACGCCGCTGCGAGTTACGAGAGACAAGAAGGACATGTCGGAGTGGCACGCCGCTGCGAGTTACGAGAGACAAGAAGGGACATGTCGGAGTGGCACGCCGCTGCGAGTTACGAGAGACAAGAGGGGCATGTCGGAGTGGCACGCCGCTGCGAGTTACGAGAGACAAGAGGGGCATGTCGGAGTGGCACGCCGCTGCGAGTTACGAGAGACAAGAGGGGCATGTCGGAGTGGCATGTCTGAGTGGCACGCCGCTGCGAGTTACGAGAGACAAGAAGGGACATGTCGGAGGGGCATGTCGGAGTGGCACGCCGCGACGAGTTACGCACGGCGCGATGGGGGATGGAGCGACCTCCGCTGGACCGTGCCCTTTCACCCTGCTGAGCGGACGCGCGTTCGCCTGTCCCGGCCCCATCATCCACCACCCCACCCCTAAATCGCACTCCTTGCAGCGCTTCGCATCGGTATAAGAAGTTAAAATAGCCTCGGGTCGTCGTCGTCGTCCCCCCCCCGTTCTCAGTCGTTACGAGTGTCAGCAGCGAGGCCCCCCACGGTGTCAAGGCGAGTAGTTGGCGGCACCCCCCTTTCGAGGGCGCTGCGTTTTGCGCTTTCAAGATGATCGAGGCGCTGGCACGCGCCGCTGTGCTAGCAGCGAGAGTGCTCAGGCCGGGGCGAACTCATCGTCACATCAGGTCTGTCGCCCCTTTCGCTCGATTATTTTTGTTGTTGTTGTTGGTGGTGGTTTGGACAGCCTTCGTTTTAGCTCGGCGTCGCGAGCAATGCGAATGGATCTGCGGTGTCCCACGTGCCGGTTGACAACGTTATTGAGAGAGCCCCCCACCACCACTTGCCTGTGTGTGTGTGCGCGTGTGTTTTGGTGTTTTTATGTTTTAATAACTCCTGCCTAATGCTGTGCTAAACACAGAGGAAGTGTGCTGTGATTATGTACTACTTGTTAATTAGTTTTATTATGTTTACGCGTGTGTACATTGCATCTCTGTGTACACGGTATCTCTATTAACATTGTATCTCTGTGTACACGGTATCTATTAACATTGTATCTCTGTGTACACGGTATCTCTATTAACATTGTATCTCTATGTACACGGTATCTCTATTAACATTGTATCTCTATGTACACGGTATCTCTATTAACATTGTATCTCTGTGTACACGGTATCTCTATTAACATTGTATCTCTATGTACACGGTATCTCTATTAACATTGTATCTCTGTGTACACGGTATCTCTATTAACATTGTATCTCTATGTACACGGTATCTCTATTAACATTGTATCTCTGTGTACACGGTATTTCTATTAACATTGTATCTCTATGTACACGGTATCTCTATTAACATTGTATTTCTGTGTACACGGTATCTCTATTAACATTGTATCTCTATGTACACGGTATTTCTATTAACATTGTATCTCTGTGTACATGACGTCTATTGTTCACATTGTATCTCTGTGTACACGGTATCTCTATTAACATTGTATCTGTGTGTACACGGTATCTCTATTAACATTGTATCTCTGTGTACACGGTATCTCTATTAACATTGTATCTATGTGTACACGGTATCTCTATTAACATTGCATCTCTGTGTACACGGTATCTCTATTAACATTGTATCTCTATGTACACGGTATCTCTATTAACATTGTATCTCTGTGTACACTGTATCTCTATTAACGTTGTATCTCTGTGTACACGGTATCTCTATTAACATTGTATCTCTGTGTACACGGTATCTCTATTAACATTGCATCTCTGTGTACACGGTATTTCTATTAACATTGTATCTCTATGTACGCGGTATCTCTATTAACATTGTATCTCTGTGTACACGGTACCTCTATTAACATTGTATCTCTGTGTACACGGTATCTCTATTAACATTGTATCTGTGTGTACACGGTATCTCTATTAACATTGTATCTCTGTGTACACGGTATCTCTATTAACATTGCATCTCTGTTCACATGGTATGTCTATTAACATTGCAGCTCTGTGCCATGCCCTTATCTCACAGATGTCGGCGATCTTGGCATTTCCTGCTGTTTCAGAATCATAATCTTTATTTAGACTTGGAGGAATTCGTTGAGCTATGAAGCTCTTGTTCAGAGATATCCAGTATGGGCGGATCAGCAAGTTATTACAAGGGCAAACATTATGAAGACAACAGCAACCAATACATGATATTACTCAATGACTTTGCATCAAATACTCAGTTTCATCCAGTTCAAAATTGTTACGTAATTTAAGAGTATCTCTTGGCTTCTAGTTGTACCCATAATGTTGCCGGTAAAAAAAATAATTATTAAATCTCTTGTTTGCTCATCGCGTGTCCGAAAGAAATATAACGTTGCCTTTCTAAAATTAGGTTTTTTTTTACAGTACTGCTACGATCCGTAATACATTTATGTCACTCATCTTATGTTTGTCCGTGACATTTTTGTTTACATCCTTAAAAAAACTCATTTCTGTTGCTTTAAATTTTTTGTTGTTGTAGAGACTTTGTAATTGTCCAGAGAAGAGATCACGTGTAACAAACACTGCATCATTCTCCTTCTCTTCGTTAATGCACAGACTAAAACACTTTTATTTAGACAACGCTGGTATGATGCTTTTCATTTCTACATTTTTCCAAAAGCCGTTTAGCGTCGTAATTTTAATACCGATCCTCACTCACGTAACACTCACTCCACTTAGGTATGTCTCTGCGACAGATGTTGTTGGTTGTGTAGCGAACTGCAGCGTGACTTTCGTTCTAATCATTTACCTTGAGCCCAACTTTGGAAGACTTCTTAGATTAGAGGACATGGGGAGGCGCCAATTCAGCATTGGATAAATCACGAACAATGGCAATAACGTTTAATGTAGAATACGTGTGCGTAAATATTACAGTACAGTGCACTGAGTGAGGGTGATACGGTGAGTCACCAGAGTTCTATTCCCAGCAAAGGTCAACAGTGGCGAAATATATTTTAACTCCCCTTCCCCATGACCCCTTACAGCGTGAAGGGGAGGCCTTCATCCAGCAGTGGATTGACAAGGAGCTGTAAATTATTACAGTACATGAGCTCTACCTACAGCACAGGATTATACACTGCATTCAAAAAAATGTACACTACTACTAAGGCAACGTGATTGAGGTGCGAACTATTGGGCAAATTTCCGAACTTTGGACTAGAAGGCAGTCAAACATCCCTTGAGAGCCAGTGAGACTTTCCCAGATAAATGACACATTGTAATCCTTTACCATACTCGTTGTGCTGATAATTGTAAATTATTTGAAGCATAGGACTGCATGCATACGTTGACATATGCATGCCAATCAAAAACTTACCAACAATTCATGCATTCCAAATTTACTTTCGGTCTGTGAATGTATTGGGGGGTTCAAAGTACTGTACAGTACTACATCTGGCTTTTCACAAACAACAGTAGCACTGACATCTGCCTCTTATCTGCTGTTTACCAGATATGCACTGCTAACAGACCATTCCAGGACATTGCACTGTGAAAGCATTTCAAAGTACTCTTGAAAGCCCACACCGGGTTGAGCGTGGGTGACTATTGTGCACAAACAGATCATCACAGGGCCGTGGAGCTTTGTGGTGGTGGATACATGAAGCTGTCTCGATATGCATTGTTGTACTTTGCTTCTGTGCTCCCACATTTGTGCTCACCAGCTTCAAGCCACACTGACCAGCATGATGAAACAACTCCCTTAACCCATGCGAAATGGGGAGGCCTTCGTCCAGTAGCGGATTGAAAGACGGCTATACATATTTAGCAAAACATCTTAGAAAAAGTTGCCCGAGATAACCTGGGGATGTGGAATAGGATTTATTTACACAGTTGGGTAAGGGTCAGATATTTCCAATGTGCTTACAACAAATGGCGACCTTTTGTACCATGCTTTCAATACTGAGATAACTATGGATGAGACTTAGTGCCACTCGGTTTACTACCAATGAATAAAGCGCAGTTGTCCATTGATCATTTATTATGTGGGTCTGTTGATTAAATTGCACATTTAAAAAAAATATAGTAGTGTGTATTTGTTTATGTACCCAATGGATTACAATTTAGTATAACATTATTCATCTTAGCCACATAAATGCAGTCGTGAAGTATGTTATTTTTACATTTTGGCAATGATATTTAAATTTACCAGAAATACTTTTAACTTAGCAATATATAGATTAGGTATTTTATGGATTTTTTTTGCTTTAAAGTGTAAATTTAATCTGTAATTATTCTCCTCCATTAATGTAAAATCATATTTGCAATGTGCATGCTTATCAATAATTTGGCAGTTATCTTTAAAACAACGCAATATTTATTGTACGATAGAATTTAGTTGGTCTGACAAGAACATCAATCTTCTGACAGCTGTGCCTAATGTGTTTGGCAGGTGTGGGAATGTAAGGAGCCTGCACATTTCAAGAACTTGCTCAAGAAGCTGTCGGGATAATTTTTCCGACAAGGGAAAAGTGACCAGCGATGGAATATGTATGAAGGCGGTCGCTGTGCAGAAAGCGCAGCAGCTCAACCTCCGATCGGAGGTACCGCCCGAGATGCGACGCTGGGCGTACGAGTGCTGCCGGGAATATCTCGCTGGGACGTGGAAACACATCAGCGAGGAGGACTTCATCATCAGCGTTGTCACGTAATTGAAGCCTCACATACTCACCTTTTCTCATCAAATGTATTACAGCTATGAAAAAGCGCCACTGTTGGTAATTACATATCACAACAAAGTTCTTATCATTCGGAAACAACAACAGCAACTCTTTCAATCTATATCGCATCTAATTGCAATCGCAGCTCAAGATAGTTTACTAAAATGGGAGAAACAAAAATACATTCAGGTAGAAGTTGGTGGCGATGGGAGATTCGGGGTCAAGGCAGGGAAACGTGGAAGGGAGGTGAAAGAGTACAATCTAAGCACAGACGGAGATGAAGCACCAGGGCTTCGGACCAACAATGATCCCCAGGAACAGCTGGGGCAGCAAGGTCAGCACGAGTCAGTTTGAGGACATTCCCAGGAGGCCCTTTACTAAATCAGTCCCAGGTCATCCGTGGGGGTCTAAGGCCCATTCACAAGCGAGTCCCAGGGCATATACTACGCACATTTCAGGTTTTAAAAAACCCAATTGTCACTACTTCTAGACTATTTCACTCAATGTTATGAACACACATCTATGGAATAGGTATTTTTTATTAATTTAATTTAATTTCTTGAATATTTGAATAACCGTGAATGCAATATATATCTTGCACAAACTTGGCTTTCCTTGACTGTCAAGTTCTCGCTTGAAACAAAATGGTGGAGCGGTGGTGGTGGAGTGATTTGTGCACTGTGTTCCAAACCCAGCAATTCCCAGCTACGGCTGACATGAGTGATGAGTGAAATCTGAACCGGTCCTGGTCCACCAGTCAGCACTGGCCAGCATGGTGAAATATAGTTAAACAATCCCCACGACCAGCATGGTGTGGGTTAGCCTTCGTTTTGGATTGGCAAAGGGCTGTAAATTATTACTTTATTCTTCATGCAAAATTCCCTCATTATTCACGCACTTGCTATTTTGGCTATCCGTGAATTACATCTGGAACTCTAAATGGCTGCATTAAAATAGAGACAGATAAAGTAATGAGATAAAGTGATGAGAGAGAATGAAACGAAACATTTTTTTTATTTTACCAAGTACGGCCCACTGAGCTTTATAGCTCTTCTTCAGATGTGACCTGACCACAAATAATAGCTCTGCGAAATGGCTTATCACGTGGAAATTTATAGCAGCCAAATACTTTAAACACATTTTCCTAAATGTGGAGGGAAATACCAGAGGGCCCGGTAAAAAAAAAAAAATCCATGCGACTACGGGGAAAACATGCAAACGCCAAATATACAGCCATCGGGGTCATGATCAAACCCACGGCCTCCTGTACACCAGGCGAGGAAGTTAACATCTCGTCACCAAAGATGACCACATTATATGGTTGTGCCTGTAAAGTATTCAGTACCATCACTTGTGCTTTTCATTTTACATTTGTAGTGACGCACTCAGAGACACTAGGAGTAGGAGGCACTCTATTTACTGTCCACAATAAGCAACTACAGCTCCCAGTCAGGACACCTGGCAGACTGCCTGACTCACGACACCGAGATGGTGAAGACGGAGACGGAGTCTCCAGCAGCACGACGGGATCCCACTGCAGGCGACAGCCCCGAGCCTTCGCTCGGGGTCCCCTTTTATCCTCCCAGCGTGGCCTCACTCCGCTGAGGCCACGCCCCCCTTCTAGAACCTACTCGTGGATTCCCGGGCTTACCTCACGTGCCCACTCTATCACCTTTTCCCTACATCCCTCTCTCTGACTTATCACGTGACCTCTGACAGTCAGGGCTGCTGCAACTGCAGATCCCCTTCTCTGCCAGAAACCCACGCTATGCTACGTAGTGACCCATTCCATGTCACTACACATTTGTGAATGCTCTTTTCTCTCACCCCATGTCATCGCACAGTGGTGGACTGAGTAACCTGCTGTACACGTGCATGCTGCGTTCTGATGTGCCAAGCATGGGAGGGGAACCACGGCAAGTCCTCCTGCGCATGTACGGAGCCATTCTGCAGGTGGGCCCCTAACGTGTGGTACCGATTGGCAAGAGGTTGTACTCTATCCAATTAAAAGTTCACAAATACCACATGTACCTTGTGCTGTGAATGTGTGGGTGCAGGATCCTCGCTCGCTTGTGTTGGAGAGTGTAATGTTTGCCACGTTGGCCGAAAGGAAGCTGGGACCTGCACTGTACGGGGTCTTTCCAGAGGGCCGGTTGGAAGAGTTCATACCGGTACGAATGTCCACCCATGACAACGGTCCAACAACTTGAATGAATACAACAAAGGAAGCAACAACAGCATTCCCATGGCATGTGTCTTTATCCATTTCCAGCATATGGAGTTTTCTGAATCCATGGGTTGTTGGTAATAGCTCTCCAATTCTTTCTGGCATTTATGTGTTGATGTTCCCATGTGATGACTTTAATATCTAGACGTTTTCCGACCTATGCTGTCCACAAACTAAACAGTATTTTTTCTTTTATTAAAGAGTAAGCGACTCAGCTGCATGGACCTGAAGGACCCAGAATTATCAGCACTGATTGCGTGCAAGATGGCACAGTTCCATTCTATGAAAGTGCCCCTCAACAAGGAGCCCAAGTGGCTTTATGACAGCATAGAAAGGTAATAATTTGTATTCTTGGTTCTTTCGGTAAAGTCACGTAGAATGGAAACAATAAAATAATAAAAATAGAAAACAATACAATTCTCATGACGTTTAGACTGCAACACAAGCAATCATCATCAGGTGTGAGAAACCACAGCAAGAAAATTTGAAAAAAGTGGCGTTTTTTTTAACGTTAGCACCACGGAGAGCAATTTGGCAGTTATTCAGATGGACGAGTCCATCTATGTTCGGAAAAGAGGAGGGGGGAGACGAAAAATAATGGATGCGGTCTGAAAGCCACCGTAAGCGTGAACAATCAATTAAGACCCGAAATGGTTTATCAAATCCTTCCAATGATTGCTAAGCCAGAATCCATCTTCTCGGTTGAAATTGTCTCTGTGTTTGTATATGTGGATAGCCTCATGAACGAATCTTTCATGGTAACCAGATGGCTTGCAAAGAACCTCTGTCTTGGAGAAGACAATGTCACATCACATGAAAGATTCGTTCATGAGGCAATCCACATATACAAACACAGACAATTTCAACCGAGAAGATGGATTCTGGCTTAACAATAATTAGAAGGATTTGATAAACCATTTCGGGTCTTAATTGATTGTTCACGCTTACGGTGGTTTTCAGACCGCTTCCATTATTTTTGTCTCCCCCCTCCTCTTTTCCGAACATAGATGGACTCGTCCATCTGAATAACTGCCAAATCGCTCTCCGTGGTGCTAACGTAAAAAAAACGCCACTGTTTTCAAATTTTCTTGCTGTGGTTTTCACACCTGATGATGATCGCTTGTGTTGCAGTCGAAACGTCGTGAGAATATAATTGTTTTATATTTTTATTATTTTTTATTATTATTTTATTGTTTCCCTTCTATGTGACTTTACCGAAAGAACCAAGAATATGAATCCCTGCAGTCACGAAAGCTTTAAATCAAAATGTAATAATTCGTGTTGCTGATTAAATTATCAATGGTAATGACTCATCCTTCGAGTTATGCTTATGAATGTTAATTTCTCATGATTTAGTCATGTCTTGCCAAAACATGTACATTATTACTCTTTGGGTGTTTCGGTAAAGTCACGTAGATAGAAAAATAATACAATAATGCTCATTATTGTCTTCCAAAAAATATGACCTGTAGCTTTGACAGCACTGTCGAGTCATCCTATATCTTGGATTAACTCAACCATAAACACAACACAATTGCATAAAGTCCACCCAACTCACCAAACTTGTTATGTAAAGCATAGGGGCATGTCACGATACAATAATTCATTGATTAACATTACTTTTGAAACTCACGATACCATAATCAAGATGAGCGTGTGAAATAGACAGCTTATGCGAATTGTAGATGCTCCTATCCCACTCTTACCACCGTGGGGCGCCACTGTTACGAGGTGTTAACTACCTCACGTGGTATATAGGAAGTCGTGGGTTCGATATCGACTCTGATACCTGTATATTTGGAGTTTGCATGTTCTTCTCGTGGACGTGTGGATCTCCTCCGATTTTTCCCTCCACATTTAGTTAAAAAATAATAGCTTAGTAAAATAGTTTATGATGGGAACGAAACTGACCAAAAATCATGGGGGGGGGGGGGGGGGGGGGGGGGGGGGGGGAGAAACAAGACAAACAGAAAGAATATGTTCTCAAGTCGAATTGTGACCCCCAAATACAGCAATGACAGTTCATCAGATCACTGGGAATGTTTAACAACTACACGGCCCTTAAGTTTTCAGTATGAACTTTATCTGTAAAAAACACACTACTGTATATGCATCATTGTAGGCTTAATCACAGCATGGAAGGCCCACCATGTGTGTTGGTTAAAGTCTGCTGTCACAACTCGTAAATGGCCAACGGTTGGGTTATTTTTAGTTTTTGTCTTTGCAGGTACCTCAATCAGGTTATGAAATTGGATTTCTCGGAGAGCTCCAAAAAGATTAAATATGACGACCTACTTGCCTGTGACTTGCCAAATGAGCTACAAAGATTAAGGTATAAGAGCCAACAAGCATACGGGACAATCGTGCAGAGTAATTTTCTCGTTCGATTGCTCTGTTACATAATTTCAACAATGCAAAACATCTATTTTATTCTATAGAGTTTAAGCCTCGTTGCAGACAATGGGGGCAATTTCCTTTCGTCATTTGTCTTTTCAGAGATATTCTCAACGCGACACCATCCCCAGTTGTGTTTTGCCACAATGACTGTCAGGAAGGTAAGTCATGATTTCTATAATGCACACGTCTTGGACAAATAAAGATTCGAAATAATTGGGTGGGGAAGTACATCTGCTTTCCAAATGACCTAAGCAGAGCTCCTCCTCAATTTTCAGGAAATATTCTGCTCCTGGATGAAAGCTCTGAGAAAAGCAAGAAGCTTATGCTCATCGACTTTGAATACTGCAGCTATAACTACAGGTTTGGTTGAATTTCACAGAGTGTGTGTGTGTTCTGCAAATGGTTGATGTCTAGGAGAACTTAATTACCAACTTGACTCCCAGCTAAAACCGATATGCTGGCAAAGGGCACCTCTGTAGCTTGCCACAGAACCTTGAATTAGCTTTGTGTGCCAGAGATTCGTGGTAAGCCCACTTTTTTCCATCTATGCATAAGTTCCATTACATAGGATTCGCTGATGGGATTTTATTTCTCCATATGCTTTTCTATTTCGTCACCTGACATAGAGAATCAGCAGCATTTACAAGGGTAAATAATTTTGATTTAAAGCTTTCGTGACTGCAGTAATTCATATTCTTAGTTTTTTCGGTAAAGTCACGTTGAAGAGAAACAACAAAATAATGAAATATATAATTTATTATTTTGTTGTTTCTCTTCAACGTGACTTAACCGAAAAAACTAAGAATAAGGGTAAATAATGTTATGAATGTATGTGTCTACTCTCTGGTCACATCCACTATCCTCGTGTCATTCCACCACATCCTTCCATCGCACCCTCGGTCTCCTCTGCCCCTTCTGCCCTGCACTTGTGGCATCTGAATAACCGTTCTATTGGATCTTCTTTGTCTCTTCTGAACGAGTTTCCCAAACCCAAAAATTACAGTAAGCCCACTGCTGGAATAAATTATAGTGTAATTGCAGTTGTGTCAAGCAAGAGGTAATCAATTGAGTTTGTTCAGTGACCGCTCAATAGGTTTCCCCATGTCCCAGCGGAATACAACTGATTAATGCAAATTGCATGCATGGCCAGCTGCCTTGCGTGGCAGGTTTTAAAGCAGGAGGTGACATATGGGTGTGGGGTGGACTGTCTGCAGAGGGGGGGATGCTTTTTAATCAATACTGACGCCTGCATCTCTCTTCAGACCTTTAGAGGACATGCACGTGGAGGGGATTATCTGTGGGAATGCGGTTGGTTAACCTTCATCGTGTGTGTCGTTCACAGGGGATTCGACATTGGGAACCACTTCTGTGAGTGGATATATGATTACGCCTGTGACACTTGGCCCTATTTCCATTCAGATGCGAAGCGATACCCAACTCTTGATCAGCAGGTGCTCTGATGAACCGCACAATTACATTTTATTTTGTCAATTTGCTATTCTTTAAGTATGCCGTTCACTCTGCGTCTTGGGCATTGTGCCGAATTAGCAGTCTCTTGCTTCAGATTGTAGTGTTTGACAATGATTAATTATTAATGTAATTGGCCCAACGTTCCACTGTTAAACCCTCCCGCTATTTATTATTGGGGGCTCAGTGGATTTCACTCTTCAACACACCGGTGGGCTAAAGTAGTGAACTATTTGTCTTTTGTCAACGTGACACTTTTTGCTGATTGGGCGTGTCGGGTGGTGGAGGGTTACGACACATTTATAAATAACGCGATCTAACCCAAAAACCTTTATTACGAATAATACTGGTCACGAAAGCCTGCTACGTGTTAAAATGATATGCTGTCTCACAATTTGATGAATTCTCATGATTCAGGAATGCGATTCAAGAGGTTATTTATTTCGTTGTCGGTAATGCGTCGCACCTCGAGTGGCTGCTGGTGTCGTAGGACCAAAATGCGTACATGAACAAAATGAAAAAAAATTATTCAACACGTGCATCGATGTGCGTATGGTGAGCCTAAGAATATATGATCATTGAAGAAGCGATGTCTCGACAGGCCTGTAAATTAGTTTTTTACCTCTTGCAGACTAATTTCCTAAGGAACTACATCATGGAGTACCAGGGGAGAGAACACAACATTTCTGCAGCGCAATCTGACAAGCATGTAGCACAGATGCTGTTTGAAGTGAATCGGTGAGAATACACGTGAACATTACAGCCAGCGGAGTCGGTGCTGATTTACCTGGTTTTCATTTAACCTTTTTAATCGAATAAGTGTAATTTGTTTAAAATTATTGGTGGTCAGAAACTATTAGGATGGATAAAAATGCATGCATCCTTCCAAAAGATGTACGCTACTCGTGAACATGATGCAATTTCTATACGTGAACACATGCTGATTTGATAAGCTACACTTGACAGCTTCCATCCTACCACGGTTATAATCAGGATGCTACTGCAACAAAAAATTACGTGTAGATCGTTAACACTTGTCACGAAAGAGAAAACTCTTCCCTGTGGAAAATGAATGACTCAACCTGGTGAAGGATGGACAAATAACCCCACAGGGTGTGGGTAGGCCCCCCTTTCAGCAGTGGATTAATAAAAGGGCTGTACATGTACCTACCGATACATGTTCGTTTGCTCAAGCTGAGTTATTTTCTCCCTCTTAGTGATCCTTTTATTGGAATGAGCAATGTGATTAATCTGCTGTGCTGTTGTAGTGATCACAGTTGCATGAATTAGTCGTTAAATGCACTGCTGCCCAGAGGATGGGTTGGGGAGCAGGTGGGGGGGTTAGGGTTAGTGGGGGGGGGGGCAGGGCATGGGCAGAGGGGGGGACGACAAAATGAGCAATTAGCTCTGGGCTTCACAAAAAGGAAGAGCCCATGATGGACCGAAATTTTTCTCGCTTTTAAAGGGGCTCCACGTGACATTCCGCCCCGGGCTTCCAGCCCCAAGTCTCCGGGTACCTCTGGGGTGACCCTGGTTACATTTTCTCTCTCTCCTGAACTCTTTACTGCTTCTTCTGCGCCTGTGCACCGCTTGCAGGTTCGCTCTGGCATCACATTTCTACTGGGGCCTCTGGGCAATCCTTCAGGCCAAGATGTCGTCCATCTCCTTTGGTTACTTGGTAAGGGCAGCAATTCTGTATGGCACTTTGCAAGCACACTGCTGTCAATTACCACCTTTTATTTATTTATTTTGGAAGTGCACTTACGTTCTTGTTAAAAAAAATAGGTTGATGGTAGAAATGTTATTGTTTACAGGAGTATGCCCAAGATCGATTCAAGATGTACTTCACACAGAAGCGGGACATGGAAGGCTAGTGTGTATTATGAAAAAAACAACACTGTGTGTTATAAATGTATACCTAGAATTGGAATTATTTCAGTGTAAATAAATGTTAAATGGACATGTCATTTTTTTCGTTTTCCCTTATCGCAATCATAGCCCGAATCAAAAATTGTACTTGCCTTAGAAAAATGTTTTCCAGTTCACTGCTCTCCAAGCTGTGTAGATGGGGGGGGGGGGAGGGAGGGGAGGGGGTGGTGCAGTAGTTCATGCACTGCACTATGAACCTCACCACCTGAGTTACATTTCTGGAAATGGTTAAAGGCTAATATCAGTGTTGAGCAATATCTGAACAAACCTGCAACCTGCAATGACCAGCATGGTGCAGTATGGTCAACCTGCATGATTGACATGGTGTGGGGAGGCTTGCATCCAGGAGTGGGGGAGGCTTTGCATCCAGGAGTGGGGGAGGCTTTGCATCCAGGAGTGGATTGACAAGAGATAGTGCATTATAAATGAAAGACGAATAGTCATTTTAATTTCGGTCTATCTTACAATATTGTATACCAATGATTAAGCTGCAATTACATTTTTTTAAAATATATACAGTAATGTATTCCTATTAATAGCTTTTATAGAAAGGTTAAACATGTTTTTCTATGTTTGGTATGTCCAAAATGCTACTAATTACAGTTCAAAGATAAGGCCAGTCCTTTGGAATCTGTATTATTTGGATTTTGGGAAGCTGTACAATTCTTTGCACACTAAATGTGTTGGTGAGTTACACCATTCTTGCACGTGTTGTTTAAGAATGGCTGACATACTCAACCATACTTGTTGCTTGAACGCAATGAAAGAGCATTTACAGCTCTAGTTCTCTGATGTGTTCTCGGCTAGTACCGCGAGTTGTTCGGCAAGATGTACGACGTTCCACTCTTTGTGCTGACAACATCTTCGGGAAGTGAAATGGAGGGCATCGTGCCGAACAAACACACAGTACAAACCCTCAAGCACATCAGAGAGCTATGCAGCACAACCACGGACACAAACAGTCTCATTTAAATTTGTTTCAACTGACTATTAACAGTGGAGAGGCTTTATCCAGTAGTGCATTAACAAAAGCATCTATTTTATAAATAAATTACGTAGAATGATCATAATCCTTATATAACCTAAATTTATCTTTTAAAGGTTGTATATACTGTAAATGATAAAGGTGCTCTTACATGTAAAAATATATTTTCCAAAGAGTATTTTTTATATATCTAAAAACGTTAAAAACATCCTTTATGGGTGTCATGGCCAAAATGTCTATTATTGCTCATAGGTAAGAGAGAACAGCCCTATGGGATCTGTTATTTACAATCTGAAAACTGTACAGCCAATTTTGTTGGTTATGCTCAATTTTTGCACGTCTTATTTAAAAATAGATACCATCTGCTCAATGATAGTTGCTGCTTCGACCACGAATAATCAAAATTATTTTACATTTGCTTAACAAACTGACTTAAAATAACCATCAACATTTACCCTACAATACAATGTCGTATATCTGCCTAGCTGAAGACTGTGAAAAGGTGAAATACTAAAATGCGAACATCAAAACAAATCTAATTTGCACGTTGCACAAATGAACGTGTTGACGGTACACCAGTGAGCGGTATATAAAAAGCTATTTTTTTTGCAATTTTTATCGGCGATTTTAAACCCCCGGTCAAAAAATATTGCGTAGTGGTGCGTCGAAATCAGTTATCGCGATGTCGAAGCAGTCGGAAGACGAATGTCGGTTCAGATTTAGATTTTAGACTGTTTTATGATGACCGGTGTGTTATGCTGCATTGGTGTACCGCCAATACGTCCACATACTGCCCTGGCAATTAATTGGTCATAAGGTGGATATGCGACATGCCGTCACATTACTTTCAGTGCATTCTCACATTTTTGTTTTATAATTCATAAAATACATGAGTATTATTGTGTCCGATTTACATGTACTGTACATAGATTCTCTAATTATGTTCAGTAGTCTTATTAAATTGTGATACGTTCCACATTAGTTTAACGATAGAAATTAAGCCCTGTCCACACAAACCTTTAACCGTTCATTAAAATCTGGGCAAGTCAAAATGTTTGCTTCAATATTGTATGATTTCATTTTTTTGCATGGGCAATAACACGCAGAAGGCTGTTTGGGGTGATTAAACATTTTACGAAGGTACATATGTTCATAAAAACTTAGTGATTGTTTTTCTACATTTATTTTTAGATACTCAACGTGGCTTATATATTAGCGTTGAAAACAGTTATAACACTTTATCTCGACGTACAACACATGGTGTAACATACTTAAGCCAAATGCGATCTTGCGAAAAGGCACGTTCAATGTGTGTTATCCCCCTCGTGTTGGTTTTGACACATTACTTCGGTGTTCCTCTCCCAAGCCAAACTCTCATTTTGGGAATTGGCCAAATCATTTAAAGGCAGGAACACCTCTTGTAATGAAGTCTTGAGACTCAATGGCATTATTATTTACATAATTCGAGGCTGGGAAACGTGTTAGGAGAACCTCATAGAAAATCCAAAGCCTGTAAATGAGACATTATTTTGAGATGCTGCGTTGGCAGTGGCCCACAAGCGCAATTGCAGTAGGGCCGTTGCCCGAAACGTCATCTATCTTTCTTTTAAAGCAGTAATATCGATGAATGTGTAGAGTTAATGTGATGTTAAATCTACAGTCCTTTTGTCAGCCCACTGCTGGATGAATGCCTCCCCATGCTGCCGTGGTCACGGAGATTGTTTCAACACACTCTCTCTTTCATTAGTGTGGGTTGCAAGACGCGGACAACAATACGTGGGAGCATAGTAACAGTACACAATTAAAACAACTCTGCCCCCCATTGTTCACAGCGTAGCCCTGAGCAACCGACAACACCACCATCGTTGTGCATGGTCATCAACCCGGCGTAGCTTCCGATATCTAATTGGTGCGGGCATCTTCGTTCTTTGGTCATACGTACTGTGAACGGAGTCTTGTAATCGGAGGAAAAGCAATCACTGACTTGACTGAACGTTAAAAGATAATGCAGATGGAGTGTGAGTGATGTAGATACCATTGGCAAAGGATCATGATGGGTATTCTTCATGGAGCAGCAGTGGGCTGACCCGCCCCTACTGGACATCCATGGAAAAGAGCTTTATAGCTCATCGGATTCCTCCAGTATAAATATGCGGATTATGACTGAAAATGGTTTCGTTTGGCAGGTGTACATCGCATATTTTTGTAAATCAAATGGCGTGGCTTAAAATGAGGATTTTTGGAAGAAAAAAAATAATTACAGGCATGAACCTAGAATAAAAACTCACCACCCTCTACATTATTACTGCCTTGTAACAAATTATACATAATAGCCTAATGATCCTTATACCAGAATGGGCAGATAGACGATTGCACTGTGTTTTTAATTTGTTTTTTGGCAGTATTAATGGTGAATGCACAGTATATACTTTATTAAAATCTAGCCGAACCAAATATTTTAAACCTGCATGCTAAATATTTGCATTTCAAATAGACGCACATGCATTGTTCCACTCCAGTACAGTATTGTTTATTGTGCGCACAGCCACCCGAAGCTGAACATTCCGTAAATTGTCAACTTTTGTTGAATGTGAATTTCAGCCAAAGCACGGCAATTGTTTGTTGTGGTTTTGATTTAAAGCTTTCGTGACTGCAGGGATTCATATTCTTGGTTCTTACGGTTAAGTCAGTGAGAAATTCTCAGTGAGAATTTTTTTGTTTTATATTTGTATTATTGTATTGTTTCCCTTCTACGTGACTTTACCGAAAGAACCAAGAATATGTTATATTTCTAACGGAGTGATCGATTTTGCTTCGTATAAGGGCGCCACCACGTGGATATTCAAGCTGATGGGAGGCTAAAGCCAAAACGCCGCTTTATGAGCCCGCTGTTTTTTGTTGTTGAAATTCTTGAAAAAAAAAGGGCGGTGTGGGGGTGGTGGTGCGGTGGGTGGTGTGGTGGTTGGTGGTGCGGTGGTTGGTGGTGCGGTGGTGGTGGGTGGTGGGTGGTGGTTGGTGGTGGTGGGGCGGGGGGTGGTGGTGCGGGGGGTGGTGGTGGGCGGGGTGGCGGTGGGTGGTGCAGTGGGTGGGAGAGAAGGGACGGCGGAAGGAAGAGGAACACAGATCCAGCCAGACTCGTGGTGTTGTTGGTGAATAGCAGCAGCGGCGGCGGCGGCGGCAAGAGGGCATTTATCACGCAGTGTTAACTCGCGCACAGGCACGCCACACGTTAGCAGTCAGCGCACACAAGGGTAGCCCCCACACACCCCACCCCCGGGTTGGAGAACACTGCAGCAGTGATCACACACCCACCACCACCACACACACACAAAGCAACAACAACGACGACAGGAAGCTACAACACAGCGCAAGAGTGTGCCACACAAACAGCACTGCAGTTGGAACGTTGCTGCGACATCGCATCCGTAGAGGCGGGCAACAACAGCAGCAGCAGCAGCAACAGGGAGGCTCAACATTCTACACCACCATCACCAACCATCAGCGGCAGCAGCAGCAGCTATTATTCTAGCAGACAGGCGTGTTGGCTTCCCTGCAACCTGTTTTTTTTTCCCCCCTCCTCTCTCTCCGTCTTCATCCGCTGGCGTCGTGCATTTTGAATATTTTGCGGCCGGTGCCATTTGCGTGCAGCACTGCGCGTGGCACGGGGTTGGTGGTGGTGGTGGTGGAGTGGGGGGCCGCTCTGGCCACTTCGCAACCGCGGTGGTAGCAGGAGTTGAGAGAAAGGCCGAAGGGAAGGGAGATTTGTGGGGTTTAATTGTTACATTGCGAGGGGTGGGGTGCCTGCAGACAAAGAGATTAGGACGGAGGAGGAGGAGATCATCGCGAGCTAGGTGGGGGGGGGGGGCAGCAGGAGACCAACAGAGCGAGGTTGCTCCTGAGTTGGATACCGGTGAAGCCGAGCAAGCACAACAACAACAACTTCACCATCACAACAACACAACACAAGCGGCATGGCGATGGCATCGTTTGCCACGGCGAGGGGACAGGTAACGAGGCCCGTGCCGAGGTTGTTGCGTGTTGATGTGCAGATCTCGCACGAGGGGCATTCATTGATCGTCTTAAGTCGTGATCTGTCGACCGCTGTTACTGTTTGGTGCACGAGCACCAAAACAGCTAACGTGGTTGTGGTTGGGGGCTCGATGATAATTCCGTAATGTAATTGCCGTTCTTGTAGTAACGAGAGTTAATGTTGGGCCAGCGTGTGTTGCGGCGGCGGGCAGCAATTCGCATGGCGATGTTTCATTGCCAACCGGGCCCGATCCGCTGCTGGATGAGTCCGCATCGGCTAATTGTTGTGAGGATCCGGCGAGGCAACAACCACCACAACAACAACCTTGCACCTTCACACGAGAGCGTCCTTCATCACCTCCAGATGTTAAACCCCCCCACCGCTTATAACATATATAAAACCGCGTCGCTGTTTAAAGGCTTGTGCGAATGAGCAAAACAACGCGTTTAATTAGCGTTTGCGTCTTTTAAATTGCGTAAACAAAAATAAAACCACCCACCCCAGTGAAAGCTGCTTGCCCCATAGTATTATTATATTGTGACCGTGCAGCGTGATTATAATGTGAATAATATAGCTCATGCGAGGTAGATGATAACAGGCAACATTTGGGGTTAATCATGATTGTGGTCGTGTGTTAATGTGTGCCGGTATGTGTATCTTATATTTTAAGGGTTTCCATTACATTATCGTCCGTAATTTATTTTATATATACGGACGCCGTGTACTTTGGCTCCCCAAATGTCGATATGCTTTCATCCATCTAGCAGTGGATTAATTACCGAAAGGGGCTGCGCATTTACAGCATACACGTGTGACATCTTAACGCGTCCCTTCCACGAAGGACGATGTAACGTTGTGAAACTCTTAACGATCACGCAGTTAATGTAAGCGATTACAGATGCAACACATTATTGCTGCCAAGACTTCATGACAGGGAGCTTGTCTCCTGCATCGGGATGATTTAGGTCAATTCCCTTAATAGAGTTCTGATTAGAAATTGATTTGGGAAGTAATAATGTGTGTCGTACACCCTGCACCACCCGACAGCCAAATTCGTAACACGTGCTAGATGCATGAACTGCTGCAGCAGCAGCAGCACACATACTGTGCCGTATATGAAAACAATAATAGGCTTTAATAATAAAGTAATGCAACGTTTTATTATTTTAGTATTTCCCTTCTACGTGACTTTACCGAAAGAACCAAGAATACGAATCCCAAACAGTCACGAAAGCTTTAAATCAGGTGTTAAGATGTTCAAACACCAAATAGAAACATTTTGCAAGGAATTAAGTTACTGCATTAACCACACACAGTACTTGTGGTGAACATGCAAACAAATACATGCCCTGATATAATGAATATATGGCATTGTCTTGGAAATTGACTAGCCTACAGCAGTAACAGCAGCTCTCTCTTCATGACCTATTCTCACCAGTGTCAGACCAGAGAACGCCAAAAGGCGAACAGTGCAAAAACAATTTACTATCATAGCAATTATAGCTTGGGGTGAGCAGCTACAAAATGGGACCTTTTTGTTGTTACTGTGCCGTAAAAGGACCCATACTGTTGTGCCGTATATTGTGGATTTTCTGACCAAATATGCCGGGTGGGAAGAAGGCTGTATGACACACACACGCGTGTTTTTTATTCACGACGCGATCTGACCCAAACATCAGTGTTGAATCATACTCGCCCACGTTGTTCGATTTACAGTTTGGCTTTGGAGAGGAAACAGTTCCACATACCAGGAAGATGCCACTCTCAGCTGTGCAGTTAGAAAGCGCATTGTGCACGCGTTAACAGTACTGTCCACAGGACCACATTTACCTTTCTAATGTCATGTACGGTACTTATATGAAACGGTTGTTTGTGTGGGTGTGTGTGTATACGTAAATGTGTTTGTAAAATGACGAAAATTATTACTTTAATATTTGTGTGGCCTAGTGGTGGGATCTTGGCACTACACAATGTGACCAAGGGGCATTGATAGGAAATACTGACTCGGCTGTAGGGAAGTATGCAATATATTTATATTTTACCAGGTAAAACACCGCTGAAACTATGAGCTTATTTTCAGAGGCGATCTGGCCGCATATGATGGCTCGTCTTTGTGGTTTATCACGTGTGCGAATGTATAGTAGCCAAATAATTTCAATGCATGTGGCTAAATGTGGAGGGCAAAACCGCGGGGGACACGGAGACAAAATTCCCTCGACCATCACGGGGGAGAGCAAGGGAACACGCACATTACAAATATACAACAGCCATCGTCAGGGTCCGGGATCGAACTTATGGACTTCCTGCGTACCAGGCGAGGGCGATGACATCTCCTGGCCACCGCGGTGCCCCAATGGTGGAAAAAAACAAAACATGAGCTACACGGCCATGGGGAGGCCCTCATCCAGCAGTGGATTGATACAACGAATGCCAAGTATTATATGCACACCCAAAAAAACTCCTCTTGTAATATTGGATTATATGGAGTACTGAACTGCGGTTGTGATTTTGAGGCCGCTTGGTCCCGTTGTACTAATGTGGAATTTTCACCTGTGGCGGCTTATGGCTGGAAACAGAGGGTGAGCCAATTCCTTGATTGAGTACTTTGCTCCAGCAATATGTCAATCCACTTCCGAATTGAGGGCCTTCCCATGCCTTTTGGGGTCGTGGGGGGGTCATTTAGGTCATACTTCACCATGCTGGTTGGTGCAGGTTTGTGATGGCTGGAGAAGGATAGACGTGGGAGCATAGAAGCACTGTGCTGAACAGATTTTGTTGCACTGTCCTCGTCTGCCCACCACGCAGCCCCACAGCCTGTAACACCTATGATGTGTGGATGTAACACCCCCCCCCCCCCCACATCCAAGCACTCTCCAGGATCAACCCTGCTTAGCTTTCAGAGATTTGACAAATTCGGGCACGTTCCGGTTGATCTAGTCATATGCAGTACACACTGCCCACTATGTATTGAAGCGTGCATCATTCTTCCACTTCTATTTTGGCACACTTGAGGTGACAGCCAACAAGGCATTTTTTTTTTACCAGAGGACATTTTTTTTAACCTTCGACAATATTTTCCTGCATTTACAGTGCGTCTGTTAGCAGGTTTGCATCTCCAAACATGACCTTCCCATGTATTTTCTCCGTCTACTTTGTGGAATTGTCATGTTTGAATAGGCCATTACCCTGTTTTACTCGGTCACCATACAATATTGTATTAATAAAGTTGTATCTAAGAGGCTACGTTTCGGGCAGTGGCCCTTCACAGAACAAGAGAGGTAGTCCCTCTACCTCGCTCTACCTCTCCGGCCTATCTGTGTGCTGTGAAGAATGGCCATTGCCCATTCTATAATTTTGTAAAGGTAGCATTATTGATGAATGTGAGGATATTTGTTAATTTGTGCTTGTGCACCACTGCCAATGCAGTATCGGGAGCTCGAGTGATTCACGAAGCCCCACTTGGGCCATGATTTGTTCTCCTCCATGCACCTGGTCGTATTTTGTTTTGTCTACCTGTGGTGTTCTTGTAGATTTTTTATAATGGTCATATTTTAGTTTTTTAAGAAGTTTGTGTGGTGGGTCAAAATGCTAAGCGTTTTGAGATGCAATTCACTCTATATAAAAACATTACTTTGTATTGATGGACTTAACTAAGCTGTGGATTTGTTTATTATAATCTAGTTGAAGGATGGTGTAATGGGTCAGCACCTTGGAGTGTAAAATACAGCGGTTGCCGGTTCGATCTCCCGGTGCGGCAGCCAAAGCAATTTTCTTTTCTAAATCCCCTCGCCTCCATCCACCCAGCAGTTATATATGGCTACACCACAGTCTCTCGGCAGGTCGCGTCTGGCGGGGTGAAGTATGGATACTCCCACCTCTTCCAAGGCATCTTGCCAGCCTCGTGGAGTCGGCCAAATTACCCTCAAGTGGAGCTCTCTAGAACTCCCTCTAGTGGAGGCTTTTCCACCAGCAGTGGTATGAGGAAGTAATTTAATGACTCCACCGTTATTACCTTTTAATGTGATTGAAATGGTCTGGGAGCATTTGGATAAGGGAGCACAACTAAGAGGTGTGCTTACGAGTCGGTGGGAATGCCCAGCCGTACGATAGCCCAACCTTAGGGCATCTGTAGGATTTGTTGGATTTAGTATTAGGAATCTGTGAGGCTCAACGAGGCACTTTAATGGAATGAAGGTGTGCAAATGTTTGGCACAAAGCCAGTGCAGTAGTGTTTACCATGTACATCTGAGCCCTTCTTTGTGCCTCGGGGTATTTATTTTTTTGACTGGAGATGTTATGTTAGTCACGTTTGCATTATTTTTTTATGAGGGGGGGGGGGAGTCAATGAAAATAGGTTGCACATTGAACCACACAGTTATTTATTAACTCAAACGTTCTGAACTTTTAGTCTTAACTGCGGCCAAGATGTTAAACAAAAAAATGCCCGATTAAACCTCGGCCCAAATGCACACACTCGGTTTAACAAAAATAATTTTTACTGTGCAAAGGAAAAGGCACATTTGAGAAATTCGTGTCCAATTGTATAGTTGTATTGTGTTGCTGGAGATGTCCACTGCACACTGAATGAAGGCCTAAACTAATGGATAGAGGAGATGAATGCCAGACTGTATAAAAAGAATAGTTGAATAATAGGAAATAAGGACTGAATTTGGTACGCTTTTAAGAGACCTTATCCCTTGTTTTCTGATAAACTGGCTTCAGCTTATTAAGCAAAGCACATCACTGGGATGACTTGCAGTATTGTGCCTTCAAAATCAGTTGGGAATGTCTTGTTGCAAAACATGTATAAATAGTTTGAACGTATTACATTGCAGGTGTCAATGATTTTACAAAGTGGACATCTGGTTTGGCTATTCCAGACCGAGGGCCATTGTGAGTTTAATTGGATTTTGTGTTGGCCAATCTGTGCGCATTTATTCTCAAGGCAGGGTAATAATGTCTTCAACCAGGTTGACAGATTCAATTTCGCTCTTCAGTTACTGCAGGCTATGTTGTATTATCAACCTGAAACGACCAAATTAATTCCAGTTGCCATTGATGATACATTTAGCACAACTACTGGTGATATAATCTATTTTGTACTCTTGTCAATCAAACTTATGGATTTCATTTCCACCTGACATCTTGGGATGTTCGATTTTCTGGTGCCTCCTTGTTTATTGGCAACATTCGCTGGATCTGTAATGAGTATGCCAGGGTTCTTTAACTACAGTTTGTGGGCAAAATAATATCATTAGCGTGTGCCGGCGGGCTACAGGACGTCATGCTATGATGGCAAATAACTTCTTAATATTATAACCTGCATGTATGTCACCACATAATGTTTCACTTGTCGGCAGGTCTCTCAGCTCTTGTTTATCTTCCTTTCATCTCACTAATCTTAATGTCGAGTCTACAGCTCTGTTATCTTTGTCTCTTGTTCGTATTTTTATATCACAGCCGCGTCTCTTTTCCGTCTAGTCGAGCTTAGCTCGAGCTTACCTTGCCACTCCTCAGCGGGGGTCACTCCGGGAGCTTTTATGGACAATTACGGCCCGCGGGCCACAAGTGAAAGAAGCCTGTTCTAAGTCCTGGACGGCGGGTGGCGTCTGTGACAGGTATACCTGGGCGAGCTGCCACACGACTTCCTGCGGATTTCCCCCACGGCTGAGCAGCAAGCCGCCCGACCCAACGAGCTCGCCCGCCCCATGCTGCCCCTTGGTCGGCTCAGCATAACAGTGATGCAGGTGCGTTGCTCGCCGCCGCGCTCTCGTGCATCGCGCTGCGTTACACTGCACGACATGGTGTGAGGTATGTGTGTATGTATGTGGAACTTCCTTCTCACGGCACGTAGCCAACCGTGCTAATCGGAAGACGTAATAAAGTACGTTCAAAATAAATATAAGTGTTTTAAAGTTATTCGTATTCATGTACGCATCACTGCTGGATTAATGATAGAGCTGTTTTGTTTCAGACTGGGTTTCTATACAGGAGTGGTTATTTTTTAGATGCTTTCTAACCGAGGTGGAAAGTGTTTATTGCATTTGCACGATCCATCTGTCTGTAACGGGGTGGGGAGGGGCCCATTTACTCTTGTGATATCACCCAATATGAACGAAGCTGTTGTGTTGCTGATAAAGACCTGTACCCCAGTGAAAACTGGCCGAGAGCAAATGGGACTTTTAAAATATGCAAACATTTTTTTGCACTGACAACTACCCATCGGGCTTCTGGACTGCCATTTAAATACTTCCAAGGACAAACGCACGTTGAAAAGCATTGCAGAATCCATTCGTTAGCATGACTTTCCTAATTTGTTTGTTTTGTCTTGTTTTATTGCAGCAGTCTCTTGCCCCCCTGTCCGTATGTAGGCCAGGCTGGTGAAGAACTATGGAGTGACGCGCATGGACCCGTACTGCCGTATCCGGGCGGGTTACGCTGTTTGCGAGACTCCCACAGCCCAGAACGGAGCCAAGAACCCCCGCTGGAACAAAACCATCCACTGCAATATACCCCCGGGGGTTGACTTCTTCTACCTGGAGATATTCGACGAGGTATTTGAAAGCCACCAACTCTCTTCACGCGGCCTCTGTGTGTCGGGAAGTATTCAAAAGGCAACGTTGCTTAAATGTCTGTTTTGGTTATTTAAGGTGGCTGTCACTGCTTTAGGGGAGGCGTCAGGGAGTGGGGGCGGGGAGAAACCTTTTCCTGATCGAAGGCCAAATAGGAATTTCAATTACCTCTGGGTGGGCCCACGCATTCACACACGACTCGGTTACTTCTGGCATTGCAAAGAGGCCCTTTGCAGTCATAGAGCGTCATAAAAAATCATTTAAAGTTGCCACGTCGAAAATACTTACGTTTAACACCCAATTGGTACGGCAAAGGTGCGTGCTTACAGTGAAGGATGAATATTGTTTGCGAGTCGTTTTGCAGTGGTAGATCTCGTGTGGCTGCTGGCCGTATCAAATGAAGTCGCAGGTCATATCCAGCCCATGTTTCCCTTAAGGTTTCCTACCCCTGGCTTAGGGTCATATAGTCATGTTGAAAGCTTTTTCTTAACCAAATGTAAATCATAATTATTTTAGAAACAAGGACTAAACTAACCACGTGAGGGCTCATTTGTCAGGTGATTAGAACCGCTTTTCTCACCTTTTCATAGGGTTTCAATAAAGCGTCACGGTCAATACTAGGAATTTTAAATTCTGCGTGAGAGTCGGGTGCACGAGTACACGTGAAATGCAACAGCTCCGGAAAGTGCACTGTGTGGGAGTGGGGGCCTGAATTATGTCGCTGTTTCCTCTATTGTGGGGGGGGGGGGGGTGAACACAGAGGGCCTTTTCCACCGACGACCGCATAGCCTGGGCACACATCCCCATCGCTGAGCACGTCAAGCGGGGCGAGACGGCCGATGAGTGGTTCCTGCTTAGCGGCCGCCAAGGAGAGGACAAGGAGGGCACTATTAACCTGCTCCTACAATACACGGTGAGCAGCGCTTTGCACTCGGTATTTTGGGTGGGGAATCAACACAGCGTGTGCACCCTATTAAATACGTCCCGAACGACCAAATCGCCGGCAGGGATGTGCCCGATCTCGCAAGATAAGCAGGGTTGAGTTTGCATAAACGAGTTTTCGTAGTCCTTTGCGTGATGCATGGTGATCAGCAGAGGACAGTGCAGTGAAATCTGTTGTACTGTTAGTATTCTTGCTGCCTTCATAAATCAACACTGGCCAGCGTGAAGCACGGTCAAATAACCCCCATGACCAGCACGGCGTGGGGCGGCCCTCATCCAGCAGTAGATTGACAAAATGACTGTACATGCATGATAATGTATGACCAATACATGTACAGTGCTTATATCACACTTGTACAAACCTCTCAATCGTGAAGAAACGTAATGACTAGCCTGCATGATTTAATGTTTTTAAGGCCACCGCATTTCTGGTTTCCCCCCCCTCCCTGCCGCAATACGCGGTAGGAAAGTGGTCAGTGTTGTGGCAAATTGCATCCCTATCGGCTCAAGCAGGACAGCAATGGTTAATGTGTGAAATATCCTTACACCAGATGGTGCAGCCCCAGCCCCAGGAAACTCTACAGGCTTACTACCAATCTGCTGGCTACATCCCAGGTACTGCATGTGATGAACTATATACATCATCATCGCAAACACGGTTATGACGTATTTTATGAGTAGTGGGACACATTTTATCCGGTGTAAAGAAAATACTCTGAAGCATACCATTTATAAATTAGCATACTGTACTTCCCAAGTGTAAAAATCAAACATGGATATGTTTCAAGTTAGCAGTGGTGGTTTGACTTAGGTGTGCAACATAGCATTTGAATAACATATATTCGTATGCTCATAACACGTGCATTGAATCATGCAAGAATCATTCGACATGTAGAATATTTACATGCCCTGTAACCCGATTCATTTCGTGAATATCTTCACAATGGTTGTACTTACATACCGTACTTCTGCATAGATTTCGGTAGTTGTGCTGTATAGCTGCGAAGTGTTTCTGGATTGTAGCACGTGTTGTTCGTCATAGCGTCCGATGTTTCGCTGTGCTTGGGAGCTTCCGCAGGAATTGAAAATACCTCAATACACACGAGTATTGTGCTTGTTTGTGTATTGGTTTGCTCATGGACAGTAGCCACATTCCCACATTTAGAAAAACAAACGCAGAGCAGTGGGGGAATGATGAAAAATTTATCATAGGCCTTACTCCTTCTGGCAATAAAACAGGTATTAAGATGTTCAAAAACCAAATAGATACCTATTGCAAGGCATCAAGTCTGCATTAACCACAAATACTTGTGGCAAAACATGAAGACAAACATGCTCTGATAATGTACAGTCTTGGATATTGATTGGCCTACACCCAGAGGCTGTCTCACCATGTGTTAAACCGGAGAATGCCAAAAGGCGAACAATTTAAAGGCAATGCAAGCATCAAAATATTAACAGCTCGCATTGAGCAGTTAGATCTATGGGGACCATTTGTGCCAGTATCAAAACAATCAAAAAAATAGATCCCACAGATACACGGTGGTGGAATCTTCACACGATTGGACAAACCCCTGCAGTGGCAGTTGGCGAGGTGGTGGTGGTGCCTGGCGGCGATGCAGCGGCCCAGCCCCCATCGGCCCCACCGCAGACGGCGCCCGCGCCAGACACGGAGGTGCAAGCGCTGCGCGAGGTGTTCCCGGGACTTGAGCCCGAGCTGGTGCGCTCTGTGCTGGAGGCGCAAGGCGGTAACCGGGAGGCCGCCATCAATGCTCTGCTCCAGATCAGCAACTAAGGTGGGAGAGCACGGCTTGCGGGGTGCGTCGCTCGTAAAGGGCGCGCGCACTTCATCCGGCCAGCGTCGTAGATGCCACTTTGATGGGAGTCCCTTGTATGAAAAAATGCGATTTGGCCACGGTTTTGGTAGCTTGCCCCTTTTGTACATAGCCTTTGTTGCACTGTGGTTTGAGCGCTGGTTGTTACCGTTTTGATTTTGCAATTTGTATGTGTTTTTGGTTTGTATCTGTTTGCAGAGGACGCAAGCCAAGATGATCAAGTCTTGAGTTTACCGATCCCATAAACGGCTTATCGGCATGTTCTATATTGATAGGGGTGTGTGCTGTGTCCTTTGGTCAACTTATATCAACAAATCCTTCGTCATGGGAGAGTTCTGCGCCTGTGTCAGGTGCCGATATTCTTTTGCTATCAGTTTTAAATCTCTGCTCCCTTAAAGTGTAACATGTCAGTATCACCACTCACACTTTTTCCTAAATGGTGTGATTGTATATTGCTTAAGCTGTCCATAAGCCGAGGGTTTTCATGGTAATGTGACAAGCACTGGATAAACTTGTATGGTGCATGGTTGGCAGTATGTGACCTTTTAGTGTTAGGCACGATGTGGCTGTATCCCAGGACAGGTTTCAATGGCTACAAAAACACCACCGAGTGAGCAGATACATTTTAATGGCATTTTAAACCTAACGGTACTGTTATATACTTTAAAATGGATATCTGAAGGGCAGATTCAACCCTTTGAAGTGATTTTTTTACAGGTCCTTACAGTTCTATTTGCACATCAAGCAGCCATTTATATCGTTTAACATTTGTTGGTACATTCCACATTTCTAATTCCTGTTTTGAATTCGCCAAGAATGTACTGCCATGCATTTCTGTATTTTCATAGATACCTGGGTGTGCAGTGTTTTAAATTAGCCTCTGGATGATATTTAATACCCTGTAATGGTAAAACCAGCTTAAAGTACAGACAAGTATTTACCTTAAAAAGATACCTAAATGCTAATACTTTTTTAGTACTACTGTGAAATTGTAATATATTAAGGGGTTTGAAAAAGCGTGCATCTGTATACTAGTATTTGAAAATTGTATAGCTTCAATCCTGTTAATCACTTTTTCGTCACTTGACTGGAGTGTATAATGTGAAACTCATACATGCCAAGAAACCAATTTTCACCAGCTTGCTTAGATATTGTAAATATTTGACGATATATACTGTATATGGATTCTTATTAAGCATTTGTTTTTACAAAATGTTAAATTAGCAGCCATTTAAGAAACAAACCTCATATGAACCCAATTGCCAGCAGTTTCAGAGTGCACAGTAATGTGCATGTCTTCATAGGTTGGTTTACTGTTGGGGAAACCCACTTGTTTACATGTTTTTATAATGCTCTCTTTTAGAGACAGCAAAACTATCGTATCTCACTTTAACAACAGCAAATAACTATTTGAAATGGGTTGTACCTTGTACTGAATACCGTTTTGTTTTCAAAGTAATGACATCTTCATTAAAATGAACAGAAATATGCTCATTGGGTCGACCCTCAAGGTCTTGTGTTCACCCATGTTATCAATGAAGTTAGGAACTTAACCCTTGTGGTGCAGTTTTATAAAGTGGGAAGCAATGTCTTTAAAAATAAAACTGAATTTCAATATTGAATTCAAGTCTGCAGTTTTGCTTATGGGGTTACCAAAGTGTAATATAAAATTGGTAACTGCATTTGTTTAAAATGGCCTCATCCATAGTGTATAAATATATCGGAGATAATGGAAATAATCAGCATTACATCCTGGAACACATCAAAGGAATTTTTTTTAAACTTTATTCACAATAAAAGATCAATACATCTGCACATTAGTTTGTCAGAAAACATGCCAGAACTACATTTATCAAAAGTTTTAGATACACTTTAAAATTTGAATAACACAAATTATCACCAAGTTGTAAATTAATCCGTGGACTATACAAAGCGTTGGTTGAGGCGCACACATACAGCGGATGAGCATTTACAATGTTTGTACAGCTGTGTAACCAATGAGGGGCGTGCCAGGTAATAAAGGTGTAAACACTGCCCAAACTGCATGTTTTTTTCCAGTCCTTGTATTAGTGGCTTTATATATAAAAAATCCTGGGGAAAAGTCTAATTGTTTCAAAGCTACAACAACCAAAAATAAGAATGTGTGTAAGATAATTTGTTTAATAATGCTTGACTTGACCATGAATTTTTTTAAAAATGAGAAATACCATAGTGTAATAAAACAGTTCCAGAGGTGATTATCCCCTCCCCACAACCTGAGTATTGGCAGTAATTATTTTTTAAATGTTTTATTTGAATACACTAACACCTGCCTCCCTCCCTCCCTCCCCCCCATCCCTAATGTCTCTAAACAAATTATACACTGAATTGTTTGGCAAGGCTACTTAATTGCCTAAATAACAATAAAGGAAACAAGTAAAATATTTGCATGCAAACATTTTAGTGTTTGGTATATAAGCTTTTAATGTCCCTCTATTTTGCAAAAATGGAAACGCAAGCAATCACTGGTGTACAGCCCAGGAAGGAAAAGTGCAAACGGGGTTACATAGCCTTGCGTAAAAGAGACAGGAACAATTTGGCAATATTTTCTCCAGGGGTATTTTCAAGATTATCTCAAGTTTTTTGTAGTACTGCAATATATACAATTTGAATGCACACCTGATATGCACACCCCCTGCAAGGTCAGTGTATACCACTGTACACCAGCTGCCACTCTTTATACAACCGAACCAGTCCTTAAAACGCATTTTTTTACGAAATTGCTCACACTTTCAAAAGATTTTTTTGTCAAATATTATTGCATTATATTTCTGAGAAAATAGAAACAAAGCTACTCTCATCCAAAGTATATTGATGGTATTTTATTAAGAGGAAACACTGCTCAGAAGCAGCATACCCTGCTTGACGCATTTTATATTTTTTTTACGTAAAGTTTTACCATATTTAACACAATGTGTGCAGACTAAATGAATTTCCACGTTACACAGCTAGCAAACTTACATGGAAGACAATGTTATTGATTTTTTTTTAGGCATAAGAAAACAAAACTCGATTGTAATCAGAAAACATAGCATAGGTACATCGCAAAGCAAATTCACAGCCTTTGCTTTAGAGATATCACCTTGTGCACCCCCCCCCCCAGTTTGTGATGATACTATACACTAAGGTAATGAAGAGCACCATACGTGCCTGTATGCCCCTGCTTTCCATCCCCAGTGTTCCAGCCTCCCGCAGCCACCTTTAAAAAAAGTATAAAATAAATATATCTGCTAAGCTTTGGCTTTTCGAAGCAGTGGTTGAAACAAGAACTGGATACAGCTGAGAAACAGAAAATGTCACTTGTCACAAGGACATGGTGTCGTGTTGTGCCCCAGCTCATTAAGTGACACACTGCCAAAAGATAGTGAGGTAGCCTTAACTACTAAAGTTTTGATGATGATGCAAAGTTTATTCTACAATTAACAATTCCTTAATTGCACTGGCCTATTATCACTTACATTGCTCTTTGTCTTTAAAAAGACATTCTCTGTCGAAAATTTTCTTCAAAGCTCTTCTGAAGTGGAAGATCATCTTGTACGCATAAACCATGCACCCATTGCTGTATAGATAAATGTCGATTTGGGACTGCTGCGCTGAATCATTGACAAAGTAAGGTTTAACATTGCATTGGCTTGTTAAAAAGCAGTACTTACAATAAAGTACAATGAAGAAATTCACCAACTGCTACATATTGCTAAGTGTCGAAAAATAGCTCCAGAAGCCAAGAGGGAAGCTTTTGAGGCTTTATATTTGACAATTGCAATTTGTACATTGTTAGCATACTGCCAGTGTAATTCTAAATGAACCTCAACGAAATAGCAGCATAAGAATTTGGGCAGAAGGAAGAAGATCCGATAAGATCTGCACACCGATTTACTAACACTTATACCTCTCGAGCCCTCCCCAACGCTTTTGCACTCATTGGCGTCAATACGCCACCGTACTTTAATAATTCATGCAATTGTGCATTTTAAAACCAGGACATTTTCCCTCTTGTAGGCAATGTTTTTTTTTTTTTATAACAAGATACTCAAGCCATAAGTGTGCTACCTGGCTGAGGTGTCGCGCAGCCCAACGCCAGCTGCTGAACTCAACTCATCGGTCGGGAACTGTGACTCAGAGCGTAGGTCACAATGGGCCATTCACTGTAGCATCAGTGACTGTAAGAAGCTGAACAGGTGGCCTAAAAAAAAATCACAAGCACAAACTCATGATTAATATATGTATATTTTTTACTATAACATTCACAATATTAAAAGTCCAATTAATTAAAATGTAGGTGAAACAAAGGGCACTTTAATGTTTGTATTTAAATAGTCCTTAACTTCGCAAAATATCTCCTGCACAAGGTTCTGCAATTGGACTTGAACAAAGCATCAGAATTATCCACTGAAATTGCAGCAAGCGTTCTATACAAGAACAGAACTAAACAGTTCATCACCAAAACCGACATTAAAATAACCACCACAAACTACAGCTGTAAAGGATGGTGATTTATTGAAGTCTTCCTAAAGAAATATTTGCATCTGGTATATTACACAATACATTACAGGAGCTTTACATTTTACACATTCCATGTGGCCTTTGTTATGTCTACGTGATGAGAGTTCACATCATTGATGGGATGAATTTTTGTTTTAAGACGAATGGGCATACTTTGTTTCTGTTGCCGAGCAACCTTCCTGCATTGGCCCATTTGCCAGTGCAGGCAATCGACCATCGGCTTCCACTTTGGCCGCAGATTCTGCTTCAGTGCAAGTGGACGGACTCATCTTCGGGCTGCCAGAGACAAGGAGGCACACCCATTCAGTCAGTACACAACACAAGCACTTCCATGCAAAAATGACAAATCATTGGGTAAATATCACATTTCCTTGGTGCAGTGGAATTAGTATGTAACACATCAACCACTCGGCAATTCTAAATGTGATTCAAGAAATGTATGTCCCACTTTTTAACATGTTTTGTAAACCTGTATTCATACCATTAGCCGAAATGTAAAATTATCACATAATTTGCGTAAACGCTTTTGACGCATGTGTCATGATCTTTTAGAATCTATACCAAATTATGAATCATTACATTACAGCCTTAGATATTAATTAGGCTGTCTCAGTTGAAATGCATGTGGCAAAACTTGACAAAGGCTTTGCAAACCTGCTGATCGGGCTGATGTCAGGCTGGCTGGCCAAACATCCACCTTCCGAAGCGGTGGATTTATCAGCTGCAATAGGCATGGCAGGTGTAACAGCAGGACAGCTGGCTTGACGAGTTTGCAATGATGATGGGGAACTGCAAACAGCAATAACAACTATTTAGCGACTCAATTCCAAAACGCGTGATATATTGCACAACATTAGACGTGCAGTGCCAAAATCACACTTGCAAAGAAATATGATTGCAATGTCAAAAACCTACCAGCTACAGGTGACACTGATCAGTCTGAAGCAATAAGCACATTTAAGGAAAAGAATAACAGCAAAGAAATATTTATTTTCATACACAAATTGTATTAAATATAACAGACTTTTGTAAAGGATTACAGCAAGGTACTTCAAAAAGTTTAAACGGCAATTTTACACTTACCAAAAGATCCTAACCACTATTCTCCCTGCCACCGCATTTAATGAAAGAGAAAAGGTCTCAAAGTTCATTGGCAAAAAATTACCACCAGAATCAAAACCAGCACCATATCAAAATGTTTTAACATTTGATTACATATTACTTTTTAAGGATGAACATACTGCTACGATAAGACTTAATTGCAAATCGATTAAGTAAAATACGTTGAGCAGTGATGGAATAAAAACCAATGCAAGGTCCTCATGGATAACAGCATATCCCACCTGGTAGACTTGGGGTTTGCAGAAACGGCTGGACTCGGCCTACACTGTTGGTCAACTTCAGTCAAGGTCTTGACAGGTGAGTTTTCTGCACACTGCGGCGTAGAGGCAGCTGCAACGGGGTTGACCGCCAGCGCCGCCCCCTCGCTGGGTGTCCCTGCAGCGCTCGCTGATGCTAGGCCGGTCGTAGGCGACACGCCCTCCTTGGCCGGGTCGTCTGCCTTGTGCTGTGACGGACGGGTGGCGTCTGCCACCAGGGTGGTTTTGGCAGGGTCTGCATGGGTGGAAGGCTGCTCTTTGTCCTGTGGTTTTTTGGGAGACTTCAGAGGCGCCGGCTCTGCGTGTACTGCTATAAAAACACATTTGGCCATCAAGAGCACATTAGTGACATTAGGAAAGCTCATTGTAAAGCAAAGGCAAGCTGTAAAAAGGATAGCATTCATAAAACAAAACAATTACAGTATATGGGTTATCTTACAAGAAGAAGCACTTCGCAATCACCTGGTTCCGGTAGATTAGGTTGGCTTTCATTGTGCTCCTCAGGCTCTGCCCCTGTCTCCATTGCCGTAGGCGACTGAATTGCATCCTCGACTTGGGCACTGAGACAGACACACAAAAGAGCACACCAACAGTTGAGCACCGCAAAACATTTCCAAGTGAATCAACCACATCTGCAATGGGACGAATGTTTGTATTTTGAGTTGACCCTCACGGTGCTGCTGCTGCTGCTGCGATGGAACAGCCCTGGGGGGGGTTGCTTCGCTCTTCACTCGCCGCCTCCATGGGCTGTACGACGCTGGCTCCGAGTGGTAGCAGGGCTGAGGGCTCTTGCATCTCCATGGCAACCGGAGGTTGTGACGTGCAGTCATTGATTTCCATGGCAACCGGCGGTGTGGTAGTCTCACCCGTCTCCATTGCGACATCTTCCACATCTGGTGCGCAAAGGTTTTTGAGAATTAAATAATAGAAACATGCTTATCCAATAAAACGGTGGAAACTTTGACATGGCAGTGAATGTCATTGTAAAGACAATGTTCAATTGCTCAATTGCTTATCTGAGAACTGCTTTCACTGGTTACGTAAACACACACATATATACACGTTTATTGTAAGGACGCCGAAACTTGCCCGTGGCGGCCGGATCTACTTCCATCTTCTCATACGAGTTTGTTGCTGCCGGCGCCGGTTTCTCCGGTGAGTGGAACACGTCCCCGGATCCTCCGTCGCCCTCCTCAGAGTCCGAGCTGCCTTCGCTCTCTTCTCCATCGCCGTCACTTTTACCCGGCGTGCTGCTGGACGCGCACGTGGAAAAATGTCACGCACGCAGGGCAAGGGAGCATGGCAATGAGCTCCTGCAGCTGAACATCTGTGAATAATCCCCCAGGTTGATGGTCGTGAGCATTTGAAGGAAACAAAAAATACTTTTAGGGTTTGCACGTGGTTTTCAAATTACCTTTGTCTGGCCAGAACTGCCGTCTGGTAAAAGGTCTCCTTATCTTCCCAGATATCTTCCTCTTCATCCGAGCCGCTATCTTCAAAACGCCGCCGAGATTCACCACTGCCTGATCCGTATGGGTTCAAAACCGGCTGCAGCACAAGAGTCTATATTAGGAGCTGAATACATGATCACAAATTTCAATAAAGTACGTGTGATTATGCTCAATGCTCGACCACTGGTACATTTGTTTTCATTGCAAAATTAAACGATAATTTTAGAAGCTAAAATAATATTTAAGCTATACTGCCAAAGAATCCACTTACATCAAAACTGAGGTCGGAAATTCTGTCGAAGGAAGTACTGTAAAAAAATCAGAACACTCCATCAGTTATCGCAAAGTAGCTTATAAAACTGCAGAATACGACGATTAATGAAAAGGTTATTACTTTAATAAAATCATCTTTTTATCTATCAATTTACAATGATAATGAAAAGATACATTTAAAAAAATGAAACGACTTTCTTATTGGGATTAAATTTAAGCCTCGAGTAAATCAAAAACATTCTTACTTGACTCTGTCCTCCTGCCCAGCAAATTCATCTTCATTGAAGCCAAACTGATCAACAAAGTTGGAAGTCATCTGCTGCATCTGGTAATCATAAAAGGTCTGGTTCAGCCAGCACCCAGGAAGCAAACGGTTCACAGGAGCCACAACTGATATCACAGATCAGTGCCACCACGGCATTGAGGAGTTACAAAACTCAAATTTTAAGTGTGTGCACATACAATACACGTTGCACTGCACTATGCACTTGTTATACCTGCTGCACAGCAAATTCTGATGGAAAACCTATGTTCCTCAAGTCGGACTCATCCTCATCCTCCGATGAATGGAGTACTGGAGTACTGACCTATCAGGATGAAAAAAGAGATGATCAAAGAAAACAATGCAGGAAAAGCTCTGCCAATTGTTAAATATGCAATTATATAAAACAGCTCAACAGCTGAAATATAACAAATTCTGGGAACGCTTCGTACCAGGTCCGTGGTATTTCTCTTATTCATTTCCGCAAGTGGTCCTTCAATGAAGCCCTCCCACTTTTCTCTGTACATATCTGGTAGACCTATGGGCAAAAATGAACAGCAGAAAAACAACAAATTATATACAGCCACAAACGCCACTAAATGTCAGGACTTTTCCACTCGACCTGTTGCTAAGCACTCCGCATACCCTTCAGCTGCTCCTGTACGAGCTCTTGGTTGGGGCCTTTCCCAGAATTTTGTACGAGGCAGTTGGCTACTCGCGCCAGGTGGCCCATGTAACCACGCCGCCTTCCTCCGTTTGCCCTGCACAAGAGCACATACCATTTCAGGACAATGTCAAGGGTCACTGCTCCTGTTATTAAGCTACCAAGATGAGGGTTGACAAATTGTATTGCAGAGAATCTAGGAGCCAAAAGTGGCTATTTGTTGGTCAAGAAAGCGTGCAAGTGAAACAACTTATTTTACGACAGTTTGCCAACTTACAAAAGAAAGACAATGGAAAACAACTCACTGTTCTTTGCTGTTGCTTTCCCAGGCGTCTAGTGTTCTCTCAACTAGCCTGCAGTTTTGGAAGAGCTGGAAAACAGACAGGCATACACAATGCCTTCAAGGAGCCATACAACAACGTAAATTCATCCTTGTCAGATAACACGCATGCCTGTTGCTTATTGAAAATAAAAAGTGTCAATTCCCAAGGGTACCCGTAAAACGCACGTGCGCAATGAGTGAGCTGTCCGCCTTTGCGTTTTCCGTGGGATCAGCTTCAGGCCCCTGGCTCTCAGAAGCCTCCTCCTGGACGGGTGGTGGTGGTGGGGTCATCACGGGACGACTCAGCACGGCCGTCAGGCACTGCTCCACCTGCAGGTGTAGGAAGTTGTTCCACACATACTGGAAGAACAGGTCCTGCAATGGAAAAGGAATGGAATAGGCCAATATATTATCAACTTCCCAACAGATATATACAATAGAACCGCCCTTAACGACCACCCCTGCTAATGACTAATCGCTTAAGGACAGGCCTCCTTAGAACACAATGTGTTCACTTAACGACCCTGTTAACGATGGGCTGTTGTAGGTACACTACAGTTGGAACATTTTACTTGTGTTTTAATTGTACGTGATGCTAAGAGCAGCTATTCACCCTGCTCATGGCACGTCATTATATAATTTACATCTTAATGTGGCAAAGAGCATTAGTCACTACAGTGATGTATGCACCAACCTCCTTCCCTCACCAATATCCAATGGGAAAAGGTGGTCCAGAGACGCATTATCATAACAGTTGACACTGAGGTAAATAAGAGTACATTGTACTTACGTAGGAGTGCCATTTGTCCAATTATTGGTAGCCACTTCATTAATAAAAGTATATTTTAGCATACAGATATGTAACGATTTATTTCAATTCCGTCATTTTATATTCATAAACTCGATATTTTGTCCCTAAGAGTTGACCGAGGATGGGATGCCTAAACCAACAAAAATAAGCATTGGAAGACAGACAAACACTATATCACTGATCCACAAAGTTGTCATGGCCCGTACCAACAGTACGTTGATCGTGTCAAGTTCCATTAGCTCTACATTGATGCTGGACACGTTGCTCTGCAGAATCGCAGCCAGAAGCTTCACCACATGCAGGCGGGTGTTACCCAGTGGAGGATCCAGAGAGCCAGCAGTAGTTATCATGGCAGCCTTCTGTTGATAAAAAAATTAAAATAATACAGACCTGTTATTTACACGTAATTTCCATGGGTGTCACATACTGCATTCATTTACTCGGTTTAAAAATTATATGGTACTACAAGAAGCCAACGCCCACGGGCTTTCAAGTACAATAATGAGACAGCTATGAACATTTAACATTCCTGTGCATCTAAACTATAAACAAACTTTTTTTTTGCCAGCTAAGGCCCACTGAGCTATGTAGCTCTTTATCAGAAGCGACCTGGCTAAAAATTATAGCTCAGCAAAGTGGCTTATTCACGTGGAAATGCAGAGTAGCCAAATAGTCTAAACACACATGTTGAGTCTAAATGTGGAGGGAAAAACCGGAGGACCCAGAGAAAAATCCACGCGACCACGGGGAGAACATGCAAACTCCAAATATACAGGCGTCAGGGTCGGGATAGAACCCACAATCTCCTGTATACCAGGCGAGGTAGTTAACATCTCGCCACCGCGGCATCCTTACATATACAACCCTCATTTGTCAATCTCCTGCTGCTGGATGATGGCCTATTCACCCTGGTCATAGCAGTTACATGGCCAGACATCATGTTGGTCATGGGGGGGGGGGGGGGGGGGGTTGGAGTGAGAGGCATGGATGCACAGAAGTACCGAACAATAGATTTGGCTTGCACTGCCCTCTACTGCCAACCACATTGCCATGCAGCCTTGTGACAACCTGTTTGCTCATGGTAGTCACCCATCGAAGCACTACCCAGGCTCAACTCTGCTCAGCTTCTGATAATGGATGGGACTGGGCACATTCCAAGTGATTTGGTAATAGGCTGTCCATCTATAAGGTAGTAAAAATGTAAACTGCAGACCTGCAACGGTTTTCTCATGCCACTGCTGGAGGCAGGGCCTCCACTATTGGTGGCTCTAGACACTCTTCTCAAGGGTATTTTGCCTATTCTTCCATACTGGCCAAACATCTTGGAAGAGGTGGATGTACCCACTTTACCTCAACACATGCGGCCTTGCTTTATCAACTGTAGTGTACCCATTACACTGCTGGGTAAACAACGCCCCATTGTTTCAATTGCCACGCTGAGAGATAGAATCGGTGACCTCTGGATTGCAAGTCCAGCGTGCTAACCATTGCACCGTGGCAGCATCGCGTGCATTTATAACGCTCTAATAACTGCCATGGGAGCTAAGATGTGGCGTTAGACCAGCTGCATTAGAAACCTTGGGTGGCTGTAGCAGCAGCTGGTGGAGATCGCTGAGTTTGGGCTTGATGCCCAGCAAGACCGAGCGGTTAACTGCAGGAGACGATTGCTCCAATGCATTTGGAAACATGTCTAACCCTTCGGCCCTGCACATGATGCCTCCAAACATCTCTTCTGGGTACCTAACGCAAGCCACAAAGACATACAAATCGTGTAACTCTCCAAAGCACACATAATCAATGGCAATCGTTTTAATTTGAATAATCGCTTTAGAGCACGATAAAACGACTTGACCTGTTTAAAAAGTAATGGACCATTGTCTTTACATGCTCTAGTTTGGAAAATCATGCTTAAATATGTAAAGATGTAGTGCTCTATGAGTGGCAAATTGGAATACAAGTCACCTGTAAATATAAGCCACGTTGCAGTCAAGGTATAAATCGTCATTGGGTACTAAACCAAAGATGTAAACTTTTTTTGTTGCAATGATTCATGTGCTATGCATCCCATTTACACAACACAAAAAGACCCCAAAAGGACAGTTACTAGGAGCAGTAATCACTGACATTAAGTCAATATTCAAGATATATTGGCAAGTCAAAACCTATTATTTTCTTTGGCACGTTTTTAGTGATTGTGTCAAGACACAGCTAATATTGATGTTGTTTTATTCCAACCAATATTTTCATGGACGAAGATTCCAGCATAAGCTCATGACAAAAATGCAAAGCCAACTGCAGACACACAAAGATAAATATAATGGGCATTAACTATTGTGTTGTTTTACATGGACTCTGCATCGTGAAATCGTCTCTTACCCTGGGCGGCGTGTTTCCAACAATGTGAGCAGCACCTGTATGCCACTGACCAGGGCAGTCTCATTCATCTCTCCATCCAACATGGTGTTTAACAGCTGTTCAACGGTCTCTTGCCTGTATGAAGAGGGGAAAAAAACCCAGCACAAGCCGTTTCAGATCAATGTGAACAAGAAATAAAACTATAATATAATTTATCTCAGAAAACCTCACCGAGTCTCGCAGTGGACCAGCAATGGGAAATTTGCTGAATTCCCATTTTTTTTGGCAAGGACCACGGTGGCGAGATGTTAACTACCTCACCTGGTGTACAGGAGGTTGTGGGTTCGAACCAGACCTGGACGCCTGTATATTTGGAGTTTGTATGTTCTCACCGTGGTTGTGTGGACTTTTCCCTCCACATTCGGAAACATATGTTTCAAGTATTTGGCTATGATAAATTTCCACAAGCTATAATTTGTGGCTGGGTCGCTTCTGAAAAAGAGCTATATAGCTTAGTGGGACTTAGCGGGTATAGTAAAAATAGTTTAGTTTTAAAGTGTGTTTTGCATGAGATGGAACTGGAGTATCCGAATAAAACTTGTGCATTTGAGAGAGCACTAAAATGTCTGCATGGATAGGGTACTGAACCCACTTGTAGCCAACTATTGGCCACCTTGCAACCCAAAAAGTTTTGGGATGTCACCGAAATATTTGATCCACCAACCCTTGCCTTCAAGACTGTGGATTACAGGCATGCACCACCACACAAGGTTCACAGTGTGCATGTATGCTAATGATGCGTACATGGATACCATGCAGTGACATGATATATGTTTATCATACTACCCTTAAAATTTATTCCTCGAGTTTCCTGACTGGCTACTCGCTTGGCTCATCTCCAGCCCAACAATAACTCATGTTAGTGGCTGCAGGCCACTGCCACCAAAACTAGTTGGGTGAAGGGCTAAACAGGATTTTCAGTGTAACAAATAAACATTAAACTGAATTGGCAGAGGTTCGACAGATATAATATATAGCGACACTGAACGGGTGTGAGTAACAAATACAGAAGATGCGGTTATTTAAAATTGCTCTAACTTATAGAATTGTGCTATTATTTTGATTTAGAGCTTTCGTGACTGCAGGGATTCATATTCTTGGTTCTTTCGGTAAAGTCACGTAGAAGGGAAACCATTAGCCTTAAGGCTAACCCTTAAGGCTAATGGTTACTCCGACTATACAATCCGCAAAGCGATCACTCCAACCATGAAGAAGGACCCTCTTGAGGAGCCTTTCAAAACCATCACTTTACCCACATTGCGGGGATCACAAAAAGATCTCCAAAATCTTGAATAAACACAAGATCCAAGTCCGATTCAACACATTACATAAAAACCGTGATCTGGTTCCGTCTATAAAAGATGTGATTCCGGACATACAGTACCCTGGCGTCTACAAACTAAGTTGCCTCTGTGGTAGTAGTTACATTGGAGAAACCAAACGACATGTCTCGGACCGCATTCGTGAACACAAAGCAGACCTAAAACACGGTAGGACCAACACCTCGGCCGTGGCAGATCACTGTTATAATTCAGTAGGCTCACATGACATTGACTTCTCCAAGACAAGAGGTTCTTTGCAAGCCATCTGGCTACCATGAGAGATTCGTTCATGAGGCTATCCACATATACAAACACAGAGCCAATTTCAACCGAGAAGATGGATTCTGGCTTAGCAATCATTGGAAGGATTTGATAAACAATTTCGGGTCTTAATTGATTGTTCACACTTAAGGTGGCTTTTACAGACCGCATCCATTATTTTCGTCCACCTGAATAACTGCCAAAGCACTCTCCGTGGTGCTAACGTTAAAAAAACGCAACTTTTTCAAATTTTCTTGCTGTGGTTTTCACACCTGATGATGATTGCTTGTGTTGCAGTCGAAACGTCGTGAGAAGTTTATTGTTTTATATTTTTATTATTTTATTGTTTGCCTTCTACGTGACTTTACGGAAAGAACCAAGAATGTGCTATTATTATTATTATTTTTGCCAGAATAAAAAAACCTCACGTTACATATCCAGGCATTTTATTACTTAAAAAGGACAGATTAATGTTAGTGCTCTGACTAAAGGACGGTCAGAAGAGTATAAAAATGACAGCAGTCTTCATTTTCTATCGGAGAGTAACGTTTCTTCTCCTAGTTTCACATAAAAGAAAAGCATTCAACAAGGAAGCATAAAAGTGAGCTTACTTTTCCAGCGTGGCGAGCAATGGTTCTGGGTCTTCTCCATCCGAACCTGCTTGCTCGCGGCTCAGCCGAATAATATCACACAGTGACTGCGATGCATTTGAATGCCTCTGAAAAAAACAAAGTGAGAAAGTTTATGAAAATTATGGGAAGTCCAGGGCACAAGAAAGGCAGATGCCCATTAATTTCAATGCACTCACATGCAATGTTATGACTGTACTTGCCTCGTCATCCTGTGAAGGGTGGATAACCTCGATCAACCGATTGACCAGCTTCTCTTCGTTTAACCACTGTAAAAGCATCAAATGCAAAGTATTTTTTAAAATCTCATGCTCACAATTCAAAGCAAACAGCTAGGTCAGCCAAATGTTGCCGAATGCAGCATAGATGAGCCAAGGATATTGCTCTCAAAGCGGACAGTTGACGTACATTAAAAAGATCCTTCCGAAGCTCGGGTGAGTCAACACATGCCAGAAGCCGCAGCAGCAGATCCATAATGGCCGATGTGCCAATGTGCTTCAGCAGAAGGGACACAAAGTCGTTTTTCTTCCGCAGGAAATCCAGTATCTGATGGGAGGAACAGACCAGTGGTAGCATGAAAAGAGACTAATAATTTGAAAAAAAGTACACTTATCTTAGACAATGCAGGTGTAAATAATGCAAGTGTAAACAATGCAGGTGTAGACAATGCAGGTGTAAACAATGCAGGTGTAAACAATGCAGGTGTAAACAATGCAGGTGTAGACAATGCAGGTGTAAACAATGCGGGTGTAGAAAATGCAGGTGTAAACAATGCAGGTGTAAACAATGCAGGTGTAAACAATGCGAGTGTAGACAATACAGGTGTAAACAATGCGGGTGTAGACAATGCGGGTGTAGACAATGCAGGTGTAAACAATGCAGGTGTAAACAATGCGGGTGTAGACAATACAGGTGTAAACAATGCGGGTGTAGACAATGCGGGTGTAGACAATGCAGGTGTAAACAATGCAGGTGTAGACAATGCAGGTGTAAACAATGCAGGTGTAAACAATGCAGGTGTAGACAATGCAGTTGTAAACAATGCAGGTGTAAACAATGCAGGTGTAGACAATGGTGTAAACAATCCAGGTGTAAACAATGCAGGTGTAAACAATGCAGGTGTAAACAATGCAGGTGTAAACAATGCAGGTGTAGACAATGCAGGTGTAGACAATGCAGGTGTAGACAATGCAGGTGTAGACAATGCAGGTGTAGACAATGCAGGTGTAGACAATGCAGGTGTAGACAATGCAGGTGTAGACAATGCAGGTGTAAAGAATGCAGGTGTAGAAAATGTCGTTGACAATGTTATGCCCGAACCTGTTCGGTCTTGCGGGTGATGAGGACGCCTAAGACCTTGCTAAAGAAGCTGGCCAGTAGAGGGTTAAGGGGGCTCTCCTGCTCCAGAAAGGCATAGATCTGGCTCATCAAGGGTTCCTCCACCAGACGGTCATTTATCTGCATCACGTCAGCCGTCAGGATTTCACTCGCCACATTTGGGTGCCTAAAACGCAAGGAAGTCAAATTAAGTACGAAACCTCACCAAAAGCATTGAAGGCTGCCAATGTCACATGACAATACGCTAAACATAGTTGCGATCAACGTCTCACATTTACCATGCTCCAATAAATCGAATTAAAACACAGCCTCATTCACAAGGTTTTAACCACCAAGAATCAAATTTAAATATAGTGCATTTATTTTGCAACGGATGACATTGAAAATGAATAGACCACCGATTCATATGCTGGGAAGCATTAGATTCACCAAATTATGAACAGAAAATATGAAAATACAGTGATATCATTTTCGGTCAAGTCACGTAAATAGAAAATAATAAGTCACGATGTTTGGATCGCAACACAATCGATAGTCTTCAGGCGAGAGAGAAGACGATTGCTTGTGTTGCGATCGAAACGTCGTGATCTATTCTTTTCTATTTACGTCACTTGACCGAAAGACCCAAAGAGTACGAATTCCTGCAGTCACGAAAGCTTTAAATCAAGATTTATATCATTTTGTTACATCACGTCAACCACAATGGTCATGTTTTTTTTTAATCGTGTCATAGGAGGTAATATACAATTATTAAAATCTCTTTAGAAGCATTGGTGTGCTGTTTTTATAAAGTTTAGTTTTCCGATGGCACTCCAAACTGCTCGTGGTGTTTCCTTATTTCATCATTTGATAGAGCAAAAGGTGAAAAGTTCACAAAAATCATGAAGTGCACATGCTTGGATTTACAAGGAGATATGGAAAAAAGTAACATGGTTCAGACAACATACACAAGCGACATATGCTGTTAGGAAAAGTGGGTTTTGTTAAGTATAAGGTACAATGGCTGATGGTCAAGACTAAAAACCAAGCGGCTGCCAAAATGACGAGGCACACTGAAGAGCCCGTTTTGTCTAGATTAAGTGATATCAGCTAATGTTCAGGAGGCTAGAGATGGTTTGTTTGCATCATGAGAACAGGATGGATGCCGTTTGCTGGGGAAATACTTTATCCAGCAATGGAGAGATCAAGGCTGACGTATAAGACGAATACGCCTTATAACTGTAAATTATTACGTATTATAATTTATCAAGGAATTAGTTAAACTCAGTTTTCATGAGCAATTACACTTAGGCTACTAGGTTTCCCACGATCAGTTTGGGTGGGAAGAATCCATTTAATGCAGGGTTTTCGAATCTCCAGTCCTCACGACGCACTACGCTACATCTTTCCACGTTTACCAATTTACTCCCATTCAAATACACATTTGTTCATGCTGCACGTGCCTGATGATTGCTAAAATAGGTCCAACGTGACGCACGCAACAGTTAAAGCCTTCATACAGACGGTTTAAATTAAGCTTCAGATAGATCTCAGTGTGCATGTGTGCGTATGTATTCCGTGTGTCCGTGTACATATTTTGCGTGTTCTACGTGTGCGTGTCAGCCAGCGTTGCTTGCTGAGCGTGTAAAGTGGGACGTGTTTAAAAATAATCTGGTGCGTGCAGCGTGGATCGAGTTAAATGTATTTTAAATGGGGAGTACATTGATAAATGCGGAGAGAAACAGTGTGGTGGGTCACGAGGAACGGAGCTTGGGAGACCCTGATTTAATGGCATTTGCAATGACAATATTAGTCACCATAAAAAAGTTAAGCTTGAAAAGTAAAGCAGCCTCACATTGTTAACCAAATGTGAGACTTAACAAATTCCATGACAAATCTACACCAATTTGGGCTTCATTGCGTTCTTAAACAGTCCATCCAAAATCCAGAAAATAAGATTTGCTGCTGCTCAGCCAAGGCTATTCAAATCTTGGGCGTTTTTTTTCATATACAAATCTGCCTTTGTTTATCCAGCGGTAAAATGGAATACATACTTGTCTGTAAAGTTTGAACATTTCCAGATGCTTCTACAACCCTTCTGCCTGGTATAAAGAGGACAAATGCCTTTTAGAAAAGGCTGGGGAGAGGAGAAGTTTTACACCGTGGAGGGGGCAGCGGAGGAGAATGAGGCAAACAACTAGAGAGAGAGAGAGCTCGGTCGCGCTGAGAAACGTGCAGAGGAGGCACGTGAGGAAAGCGTGCAAAGGCGGCATTGGCGGCGACTTGCTTGAAACGCAGGCGCTCCTCGATGTCCCCGGGTGGCTCGTGCGTGATGAGGCGCACCAGCTCGAGCATGGTGTCGGGCCGCAGCAGGAAATCGAGCAGCTTGCGGTTCTGCGCCTTGCACTCCTGCAGCACCTCCTCCTCGTCCAGCAGCTCCTGCAGGGTGACGTCGTCGCGCTCTAGCAATGTGTCCACCTGCGACGACGTGTGCAGGTCGAACTTCCAAAACATGGCTGCTGTGGGAACTGCACCTGGACAAGACGGGGGGAGGGGCACACGAGAGTGGGATGCTGAGTCGAGGTTCTTATAATTTACAACCCTCTGGTGAGCCAATGAATTGCTGTGAAATCAAGGTGACAATTTGATTAAAGAATCAATTTTTTTTTTAACTTAACACTGTGGTACATGTAGCAGTCACTTATGGCTGCTGAACCCTTTAGGTAGAACATACAATCCAGCATCATTAGCTGTGGTCAATCCACTGCTGGATTAACGTCTCCTCCAAGCAGGCACATATATGACACATACGAATAAATAAACATCGATTTTGAAACATGTGACTCAATATATTATTTGCGAATTCTGAAAATATTAATCAAAAGGTGCACACACAGCGATAAGATGAGAACTGCTTGCCCACAATTAGAATTTTATTGCTGATGCTGTGTAAAAATATATATAAATGTGAAATGTGCTGCATTAATGCTATTTTTGCTCTTTACATAAACGTACAAAAATACTCACTGCTTACTAAGTGGTTACTTTCGAGGAGGACATTTGAATTAATTATCAGCATACTGATTCCCATGAAGTGGATAAGGGTGAAGCCTTAAGCAAACCTATTCAATTGTCTATTCAATGTGGGCACAAGTCTGTTTACGTTCAATTAAAACAACGAATGACAGTTAAAAGCACCCTTTAACTTGGGCAGAAAAAAACTGTTAACACACTTATATACAGGGCGACCCAAAAGTCAGGACACATTGGGTTATATCATTAACTTTAACACTGGCATGAAAACAGTGATTGTTTATTCTTTAAGGCAATATTCTTTCATCATTAATATATTTTCTTCTTCCTGTGAGGTCACCTAAAATCCGTTATTTACAAAACTCGACCAAAACAACTGATGAATGTTCAATGATTACACCTGTAATGTAAAAAAAGTCCTAAATTAATTTCAAGACAATTCATGCATTCGTGTTAATAGAAGTCAGAATAAACATTTGTTAAAATAAGTAAAATAACTCTGATTTGTTAAAATAAGTATAACCCCATTTGTCCTGACTTTTGAGCCACCCTGTAGAATGAACAAGTTAAGGTATGAATTTTGATTTAAAGCTTTCGTCACGGCAGGGATTCATATTCTTGGTTCTTTCGTGACTTTACTGAAAGAACCAAGAAAAAGTTAAGGTATGCTCGACTCGTGTGAGATTAAACGCGGACGTTCTGAGTAAACTAAATGTCCACCCATCTATTTTTGCACTTTTCAGGTCCAAACATTGTTTGGTTTTCATGTGAAAGGAAATGAGACCCAATATGGAATTTTAACTGTTTTTATAAGTGTGTAAAAAACACAGCTGTCTTGGCAGATAGGCAGTGGGAAAAAAGTACTTGTGACTTGAGAAAGCAAGACTATCCAGGACTGTTAAAAGGAGTCAAGTGTCAAAAATAAAGATAATTTACTTTGAAAAGTCAGAGCTCAAAAAACAGGTTATTTTATCGGATCATCTACTTTGACTTAAGTAATTGGAACTATAAAGTAAAAAAAAATCACTTTGCTGCAGCACCTTCGTGAGAGAAGTCAAAAGTAAATCTGACAAAGGCATTGTATTCCGGCATATAAAGTTTAATTATTCTTTAACAGGTCTGACATCACAAGTATAATGATTACATTCCACAATATCAATTTGGGAAACCCTGCTTTGTGGACGCCAATGACTCTGAACTTAAGTTACGCATTCGTGTTATGTTTGTGCGGGAGACATGCAGCTTTAGGCCAGGTATATCAATTGCCATTGGCAATTTGGGGGTTGTCGAAATGAAAGCAATATTGTGAGTAACGCGCCGACGTTTTTGTTTTAATCAAAACAACATAACAGCAGCACAACTCGGCAATGTTTTCCCAGTAATGATCTGGCAAAATGTAGTTGCACCATTAGACAAGGGTCATTACTTCGAAGCATGCACGGGGTGGTAAGGAGGGGGGAGGAGGAGGGGGGTGTGGTAGGTCAGACTGTGTGTGTCGAGTAACCCACAGCGTAAGCTTGCAAGTTGCCAGAGCAACGTCAAACATCTGCTTTGCACGTCCACCAACCCCCCACCCCCCCGCCTGAACCACCACCACCACCACCTCTTCAGCCACAAGTGGCGGCATAGCAACACGTGCAACAAGCACACGACGAGAGACAGGCAGCTGCTGCCCCCCCTTTCACCCGCAGTCAGGCCCCAACGCATAAATCACCCTACCTGCCAATATTAAGTTACATGTACATGTTTAATCCGTTAACGGAACTGCCCTATTAATGTGCGGGTCTCACAAAAAAACGCAGCGTGTACTGCGCCGCGTGCACTTTCGGGATACCTCGTGGCATGTATTATAGCTAAGGACAGCTGGAAATGACGGCGCCGTTTCACTGTACCCAAAAACGGGAGCAATAACCGGTTGATTTGTAAATAAAAGTGTATACTGCATTACCAGCCTCGAGCTGAGCAACGATAACTATGATTTCACGATATAGCGCACGGTAAAGCGATAAACTAAACTTTAAGAGGTCAACTTAAACTTCGACCCAAGTCATCTGGTGTTGTGGAATCCATTCAGTGTTTATGGCGCAGTACAAAGGTCTACCACCACCAAGCAAAAAAAAATACCCCAAGTGATTAAGCGTGTTTCCCTAAACACCAAGATCACCCTGGCTAACGATTTAAACATCTCCACCATTTGTTTTACCTACGACACAAATTGGAAACGCTTTCGTCACAAGCGCTGCGCCAACATGCCAACACGAGAATTGTAAAATACCGCTTAAATGTTGTTTGGCCGTCAGCCTGGGCCAGCATTCGAAACCGCGTTGGGTTATTTTAAGTTAATCGTCTACTGTAAAACGCATGCCGCACGTGGTTTTTAAAAGCACACGGAAAACAATGCACGCCGCAGCGGATCCACATTTCCCAATGGTGCAGAGAACTCTACAAGCCTCTTGTTTGCACTCGAGTGCTTCCAATGGCTTTCCGCGGGTTCGAAAAATACCCTCGCATTTTTTTTCTCTTTTGACACAATGTGAAGAAGGCCAACGTCACGTCCGTCTTCACGTTACAGTGAGAGCGAGCCGCGTGAACTTTTGCTCGGGCCAAAAGGCACAAAGGCAACCCCCCCCCTTCCACCATCCTACCCACCCCCCCCTCCCACCAAGAGCAGGAAAAGGCAACGCAACACCCAACCCCGTCCACAAATCAATCAAGTCTCTGCCATGACGACACAGTCAGCAGCTCCACACGAATACACGCACAGCAACCTGCGTTGTTTGGTCATGGTGAACCAAATCACCGTCATTAATGGATGGCTTGATACGGGGCTGCATGCAACGAAGCATTGGTACCTTCGACGCTGTGCAGAGTGCCACACACTGTACAAACTGTACAAACCTGCATGCAGTGTGTGGTCACTATTATCACGGCCAAAAGGGTCAAAGTCGTTGCGTAATCGCGATTCACTCCCTTTTCTTTGGACTCGGTTCACAACTTCCTTCACCGAGTTTTAAAACCGAATGTGATATTCTGCCGCATAGGCAAGTCTAAAAATGTCTCGGTTTCAAGCGAGCCCTCCCACCAACCTTAACAACTCCCCTCCACTGTATCCGACATCAAACACGCGTTGCACGTGTGAACAAATATCATCTTTCCACACACGCTACTAACATGGAGAGTAAAAAAATATATACATTCGCTTATAGTCGATTGTCAACTTATGGTGGTTGTTAGGGGGAGAGGTATACACGTCTGTATGTACATTTTCTACCAATTCATCTTGGGTCAGCGTGAAAGACAATGAATCAATGTCCACAATCCTCCCCCCCTGCCTGCATCGGTGTGTGCGCTCCGTTTTCAGGGCACCTCGTCACATTTCTTCTGACAGCGATTCGTAGAGAGAGAAATCGACTGTAACCATTACCCCCCTTCTATGGCAAGACAAAAGTTGGCTTAAATATTCACAAAAATAAATGCTTCATATACAAAGAGACAACCCTGGCTTATTCGTCAAGTGGGCAATTTTGGTCGATGTCATGTACCACTACTACTACTAGAGGGTTAATCCTGACCCAGTTTAGCCCTGTGCGAGAGTAGTATGAGCCGGTGGAGACTGCACCTTCATTGCCTTTCACCAAATGAGATGGGGTCAGGAACGAGCGAGCTAACAACTTCAGCCACAGAGCAGGGACATTTGTAACAAACGTTTGCTCGTACCAAGGGAGTAAAACAACGCACGTCTGGTCTCTACTTTTAACCTAGGATACAACTGCAGCCTCGTTTATAACGCAATGACACTGATTAGAATGAGAAAACGGTATCGACACAACAACAACAAACCCGTCACACAATACACGCCGTTTTTTTTCCCTGTCAGCTTCGCGTCGGGATTAAAAAGTGGCCACCGAGCAATTTTACAACGCGTTAAAAGGTTCGACTCCCATTTCCCGGTCGCCCGCTAATCTCTTGCAGGGGAAAACTGCCGTCTGGCGTAGTACAGCTGACGCCAACACCCCGTGACACTGTTTTAAAGTGTATGCTTCCATTGCAAAACACGAGCTGTCTAAACAATACACGCAATAAAAACAACTGGTTTGCCGATAGCCAGCACCGAAGGGAAGAAATCTTATATTGGAACTAAGGAGGTGGGTAGACTTTACAAATTATTCTTTTTTTTAAGTACGACTTATTATCGTAGTGCAGAACGGTCGCAAAATCCCCCCCCCCATTAATTATCGACACGTGGCGAGGCTTGCCTTTATCCAGCAGTGGACCAACCTGGTACCACTGCGCCGAGACGAGGAGAACCGGGGGGGACCTGCTAACCTCTCTCTACCTGCTCTCCATCACTTTAACCACAACCCCAGAACCGCGCTTCTCAATTAAATACTTTAAGCCACGTGACAAGGCCCCTTATTTAAACCAGACGAAACCCAATTGGACGCAGGCGTTCGATGGCGAGATCTCATTGCGAAATGCCACCGCCCTGTCACAAAGGGAGAAACCGGGGTCGTCGGTGAGATTCCATTGGGGTATTTGGGGGTTCACTTTTCGTGGAAGAACCTAGGTGAACCTGGGCTGTGCGTCTGCGTAGAATTATGACTAAGGCAGGAGGTATTTGCTTTCTCACGGTGGCCAAGAGCCCAAAAAGGACAACAAATTCGTTTTCGCATGACAGGAGCGTGCGTAGTGGCGCGTAATCCAATTCACACATTCCGCTTTTTTTTATATATAAGGGACGCGTGCATGTATGAACTAGCGCCTAAAAAAGGCCAACGATCGCTGCTACACTGTACCATTAAAATCCCCTTCACAATAACGACGCGAAGAGCGATGTCTCATTCACACATTCCAGCGCCACAAAGAGCCCGCGATGACCATTATTTAAGCCGCGCGACAAGAGCCTACTGATACAACCCTCACCACCACCACCACACTCTTTCACATAGATCCGACCACCTCTGGAACGCCGAGTGAAGCTACACGACAAGGGTCTCTGCTGGGGGGGTCCTTTAATCCCCCCCCCACTACTTCCCCATACACCCCAAGACTCCCCTAGGTCCCTTGCTTTCCCGTGACCCAGGTCGGTCTACTCACGGCGTGCGGGAGTCGGGGCAGCTACTCGATCATCCCCCTCCGTCGACAGACGGCGAGAACTCCTCTTTAGTCAGCAGCGGATGATGTCTTGCTTGTGCTGCTGTTGTTGTTGTTGTTTACGTTTGCCTCAATTGCGTCGATGTTTATATTCTTGCTGCTCGCCGCTTTAAGTTGCTGCTGCTGATGTCAACGTCTTTCTCTCGCACTCCCCTTTCTATTGCTGGATTGTTGTTCGAGGTATGTTTTGTAGGTTAAATTGCCGTCGTTGTTTAGATTAATTGGGTTTATTTTGCGATGGTTTGTTGACGATGTTTACGTGTGTTAATGTAGTGGTGGTATTACGTATGCTTTTAATACGTGTTAATACTGTTACTAATGTTTATGCTTGTGTGTGTAGTCTATGTTAATGCTTATATTTCGATTTAAAGCTTTCGTGACTGCAGGAATTCACCGAAAGAACCAAGACGACTTATATTTGCTGTTGGTATAGTTTAGTAGTATTTGTCGCTTACAGTGTAGGCATAATCGTTTATCAGCTGTATCCTGTTCATGTGTTTATTTATGTACTCTGTATTTGTAATCAATGCTGTTTCGTGGTATTTCTAGTTTAATTACGCGATGTACGTTAACGCCGACGTCGAGTCGAGTAGTAGTTGCTGCTGCCGCTTATAACGCGGCAAACTGGTCGCGTGAAATTTCTCGCGTATCGCTCACGGCCTCGTCCGTCGCGTTGCGAGCCACATTAACTCCCGTGGCCCTTCGCGTACACCCACGTATACTGTCGTTAGTTGTGTCGCTATCTCTTATCGCCGCCGCTTCCCCGGGGCCTATACTAGGCGGGGTGTGTGTGTGTGGTGGTGAGGCGAAGAGGTTGTGAGGAGCGCGGTTCCCAACTCCCAGGCCGCACGCGCAACGCGTGGACTTTTTGAGTGAAAACAAGAGCGGGGGGAAAACAAAATGTACGTGTGAAATATTCACCACCGCCGCTACGATGCAACCAACAACCAGCGAACACCTACCCACCCACACACCCACGGGCCGCCGGCGACACGAGCAGTTACACACACACACAAAAAAGAGTACGCGACTGGTGTGTTTGAAACAAAAGCAGTGACTTGGTGGTAAGGGTTATCGGTGCGGGTAGGAGAGAGGAGAGAAGACGGTGGTGGTGGGGAGTACGAGGAGGAGGTGGTGAAAGAGCGGAGGAGAGGAGGAGGAGAGCGCCCGGAAAGTCGCCGCCGCCGTGTGCCCACCGACTTGGCGCCGCGAACTTCACGCCAGCTCCACCAACATGGCGGCTCCGCCTACCCACAATGCCGCCGTCGCTGTCGCCGCGGTGACGTCATGACGGGTCGCGCCGCGCTCGCCTCGCGCCCATAAACGCGATTTTATTTTATAGTTTTTTTATTGAAAAAAAAGTAGTTTTTTTATATATATAAAAAAAATTGTTTTCATTTTTTTTAATCGAAACAAAAATAGCATTTAAAAAACATTATTAAAAAAATGGTATTCAATAAATTATATTTAAATTTTTGTAAAAAAAATTAAACACGTCCGGCTTTATGTACAGGATGATCCCACGAATCTGGAACCACAACAGGGGGGGGGGGAGGGGAACAAAACAACTTAATATTTGTGTTGTTGTTTCCGCAGGCCCAAGATGTCTCTTGAGCAAGGAAGAACGAGTCTCGAGATAATTCTACTCGTAGGAAGTCGGAGGGAGGTCGCTGTTGAATTTAACAACAGGCTTGCGAGCCAATAACGCAGAGCTGTGTTCGTTTATTTCCTGTGATTCCACAATTATGGGACACCCTGTGCAGTTAAGGTTTTTTTTTTTGGGTGAGATCGCGTAAATATATAAATGTGTCGTTAAACCCGCCACCACCCGACACGGCCTACTTAGTGAGGTTTGTTCACGTAAACAGAACGTGGCCAATTTTTTACTAGAGCAAAGCCACAACATTTACAACCTTGAGTACGACGTTTCGCTAGTAATTACGACCAGCATCATCAGGCGACAGCCAGATTTGTGGAGACATACTCGTGTTTCGTTCCTTAAATAGAGGGGTAGATGTGGTGACATCACTTTTGAGCCCTTCTAGAGCGAAGTTGGGTGGGGGGGGGATTAATGAATGCATATAAATGAGACTTTCGCAACCATTATCATATTCTATTCATAGATGTAAAGGTAAAAAATGTAATTTACTGTGTTTCTAAAGGGAGCCGGGTAAATTGTCCACAAAAAAGTCGTCGAATCATCCACTTAATCGACTAATTCTCCCAGTTATATATTTAAATGTGTGCCATCTTCGTGGAAAGGGTGTGGTAATGATTCATCATAATATATTTAATCTCAATAGATTAAATCTATTATGACTTGTGTAGAAATGTATGTTTTTTATTGGCATGTGACTTGTACAACGGTCGTATTTGGTCAAAGTGACTCCTCCAGCCACTAGAGGCCGCTACTGCACTGATCGGATCGCTAAAATCCTGACTTGTGACAATTTTGGCGAATGGTTTACACGACCCGGCGTGAAGCGGGACTTGGATTCACAGATGAACATCAGCGATCTCGCCTGGATAGTACTAGGATGGATGACCACCTTGCAGAACGCCCGGTGCAATGCACGTGGTGGACAACAGAGGAGTGTGCAGAGAAACCAATTATATTGCAAACCCCCAAACCTCCATCGGCCATGGTAAACTGTACTCCCATGGTGAACTGGACTCCCATGGTGAACTGGACTCCCATGGTGAACTGGACTTCCATGGTGAACTGGACTTCGATGTTAAACTGGACTTCCATGGTGAACTGGACTTCCATGTTAAACTGGATTCCCATGGTCAACTGGACTTCCATGGTAAACTGGACTCCCATGGTGAACTGGACTTCCATGTTAAAGTGGACTTCCATGGAAAACTGAACTTCCATGTTAAACTGAACTCCCATGGTGAACTGAACTTCCATGTTAAACTGGACTCCCATGGTCAACTGGACCTCCATGTTAAACTGGATTTCCATGGAAAACTGGACTTCCATGTTAAACTGGACTTCCATCGTGAACTGAAACTTCCATGTTAAATTGGACTTTCATGGTGAACTGGACTTCCATGTTAAACTGGACTCCCATGGTGAACTGGACTTCCATGTTAAACTGGGCTTCCATGGTGAACTGGACTTCCATGTTAAACTGGACTTCCATGGTGAACTGGACTTCCATGTTAAACTGGACTTCCATGGAAAACTGGACTTCGATGGTCAGGGGTCAGAAACATGGACACTGAAAAACATTTGGAATTAAACACAATAGCGTCTAAATGAGATGCTGTACAAAAAAATGGGGCATGTGCATAATGTGCTTAAAAAGAGATGTCTTTATATTCTTAGCTCTTTCGGTAAAGTCACGTTGAAGGGAAACAAAATAATAAAATATATATAAAGCAATACAAATTCTCACGACGTTTCGACCATAACGCAAACGGTCATCATCAGGTGTCACGAAAGCTTTAAATCAAAACGATGTCTTTATATTTATAAAGTGAGATGCAATTGAAGTCACACTATAAATAAAATACAGTCATATACAGAAGAGACAATACAAATGTGGCAATACATGTATTTCTTGGCTGGCTACCAACGTGCACAACAAGTTGGTCTTACGTGTTGGGCTGAGCTGTGTATTCTCTCACACGTCTATGCTCCCCGTCGTCATGACCTCTCACTGCCCAGCTTGACGACATGGCATGCGCAGGTAGGCATTCATTCAGCAGTGGGATGCATTCAAAGTCTAAATGTGAGCCAAGCATTGGTCCTCCCCTAGGTCTACTCAGCCTATATTGAGAACCTAACACAGTGAGTCCATTAATTCATTTATGTTATTTATAATCATGTAAAATTCACGATACAAGTACAGTACATGCTTTGTTAAATGTTAATTCAGTTGGCATGCAATTATTGCTTATGACATTCACATGTTCAAGATTCATACGTAAAATTGCCTCTCGGAATTGATGACATTTTACATGCTCACCGAACGTTACGCTCATAGGAAACCCAAAACAGGAGGAGGTATGAAACAGATAATATGTACAGTTGAGACAGTACTAACAATATCAAAAAAATGCTCACAACATAGCAACGATTATTACGCCACGTTTATGGGCCTTCTGGATGTAAAAAAACAGCATTTGTTTCACCAGGCAAACTCTGGGCTGGTTTCAGATTTCTCTCTCTCATTAGCAGAGTCGTCTGTTAAACAAATGCTGCTTCATGTTATAGGCAAGAGCCCTTCACTACACCACGGAGCGCCTTCGTGCAGTGCAGTCACATTGCACCAAATTTCGTGTGTTCCTGGTGGATTGTGAGTAATAGAATGATGTAGACAAATAATAATGCACATACGTTGACACAAATATAAACACAATTGAATGAAGATGTGCCCAATATAGATGACTCTGGTATCTTAAATAGCAAGGGAATAACATGAAAGGTTGTTTAAAGAATGCGTTTACATTTTGGGAAAGGAAAACACCGGTTCTGGGGGCTATTGTGTAAGGGGACTGGGGAGAAATGACTTTGTCTCCATTGTGTTTGAAAATACGGAGTCTCTCAGGTTATGGGGCGGAGGGATAAGACAAGCGACTTTTCTCAGAGAACAATAGTTTTGTCCATAAGCCTAGACGGTATTGGTCTGGAAAGGCACTTGGCTGATGGATAAAAAATAAACCGCTATTTTATTTATACGTCGACAGATTGGCGTTCTGCTTATACAGTATTTTATTTTTATTTTGCACCATTATGCTCCACGGCTAAGCATGATGAAATTATGTACGGTAATACTTGAATTAAGCGATTGAGACACAGGCTTTGTGGAGGGAGGAGTGTTTGATGGGGGGGGGGGGGGGGGAAATGATCGGTTAATGAGTTTAATCATTGAAGCAATGCTTACATAGGTCCAATTATTAAGCACAATTTGGCAGTGTTGACTGTTTGACTTCGTGCAGATAAGCTTAGATTGTTTGTGCAAAGGCGTGTTGATTTGGAGGGTTGATGGACAGGAGGGGCCGAGTGGTGATTTGAAGCACATAAAGGATGCGTTTGACGTTTGATGTCTGAAAAGAAAACTCTGGGCAGACATTTTGAGGGCAATCATTTTGAGGAAAGACTTGCCACGGAGTTTGGCAGGTCCTGTGCCAGAGAGAGAGAGAGACAGGCTTTGTTTGTGATTATGAGGAGAGGTTGTCGGCAGCTGATACAATTCTTGGCGAGAGCTTGTCGATATCACATATATGTGCAATTAACATAACCATTGAATAAATGAGATTTACAGCTTCTCCATTATTAGTACACATCATTTATGTAAGTGGTTTTGCTTGGGATTGCAACACTACGATAATAGACAAGGGCCAGTTTAACAGGCCGCACTCTGCTGATGAGACTCATCAAGTCCCCTGTGTGTTCTCGTGTCTAGGTCCACATGTTGGGGATGATGTCACTCCCAATGGAAAATAGAGAGATGGAGAATAAAGGGGATCCTGACCAAGCAGCTTGAACTAGGCCAGTGGGTTTCCAGCAAAGGCTGATCAACTAAGTGGCCAGACTAAATGAAACTTTTATTTACCAGGTAAAGACCACTGAGCTCTTAGCTCTTTTTCAGAGGCAACCTGGCAACACACGACAGCTCATCGAAATGGCTTATCATATGTGGGAATTTATAGTCGACAAATAATCTAATAATCTAAGGTATTTTAAGCACCAGTATCTCTTGCGCACCACGGTGAAAGGAGAGGCACGTGCAAGTAAGATTGATTATAATGAACAAAAACCCCCATTTATTTACAATAAAACAAAGTTGCAAGGGTATTCACATTCCTGAATACATGAAGCAAAACAGTACAACATTGGAAGAAGTTTAATTGTGATTGGAACATTTGACGACACAATTATTATGTCGCATGCTTTACATGCAACGTCGCAGGTACACACAAAATGTGGTGTCTGTTGGTCAAGACAAACTGAGCAGTCTCCATACCTGTCAAATTGTAACCATAACAACATGTATCAATCTTAAAAAAAACAGATCCTCATATATTTAAAGGAAGAAAAAAATACCTCTGGGCACCAGAAGGTATGAGAATAGATATCATGTCACCAGTTCCACCAAACGTCTGCATATTGAATGTACACCTCAATCCAGAGGGCACCCTTACGTGATCTCCA